CCCCCCCAGTTACCATCATACGCATTCCATCTCCAAAGACCTCATCAAACTATGTGGGCAAAAAGGGTTCATCCTGGCCTCACCAGCTGGAATACCCACTTTCCTTAACCCCAGAGGTGCCCAAACCATAATAGATCTGTGCTGGGTCAATGCAAAATGCAGACAGCAAGTAAAACAATGCAAAGTTGCTCTAGACAACCACGCGTCAGATCACCAGCCTATCTTCCTGACAATTTCAGTCGACGGAGAAATCCGTAAGCCCTCAAGAAACAGAGGCATCGCCCCAGAACGGGTAGATCAGACCCGCTTTCAGGAGGATCTTAAACACCTGATTGATTCCCTCCCCCTTCCCCACTCTTCCAACAATGCTACAGTTCTTGACACCACCGTCTGCCGCCTCACGGAAGGCATACAGGCCTGTCACAGAAAACAGGGCACGGTGCCTTGGAGGGGTACTCCTCGGGCAAATTCATGGTGGGATCCTCAAATCCTTGGACCCTTAGTCGCGAAGAGAAACAAAGCTCGAAGATGGATGATACTGTCCAACACTGAAGAATCGAGACAGTGCTATTATGCCTGGCAAAAGACTTTCAAACTGAAAGTTGAAGAATTAAAGCTGCTGCACTGGCGAAAGTTCCTCGCCAGAACAGGGGATGCTTCGGCATTCCAAGCGTACAAGTTCACCAAGGCCAAACAGTCTGCCACAGTAGAACCCCTATATAGACCTGACAAAACCATTTGTGCTGAAGCTACCGAACAAGCAGAAATCCTATTTAAGGGAACTTCTGTCATCAATTCTGTTTGCGACTTATCGGATATCTCCCCCCAGAATACTGATCACACCCCTCACACTTTTCCCCCCATCACAGTAGCAGAAGTGAGACGAGCAATCGAATCTCTTCCTGCTAAGAAAGCAGTGGGGCCAGATTCCATTCCCAATGAATTGCTCAAGATGGGCAAAAATCAACTCTCTCCCTTTCTCACCCCTCTTTTCAACGCTTGTCTGAGGCAAGGACACTTCCCCAGCGGATGGAGAACCGCCATCACGGCCATCCTTCGCAAAGCAGGCAAGCCAGATTACAGCGACCCCAATGCTTATCGCCCCATCGCGCTTCTGTGCACATTGGGGAAACTTTTTGAAAAAATCCTCAACGAGAGGTTAATTCATTGGATTGAATCCAAGGAAATCCTCCCCCAAGGACACATGGGTGGAAGGCGAGGCCGCAACTTGACTGACGCTTTGGTTGTCTTTACTTCCTGGGTTAAACACCAGTGGAGGAAGGGAAAACTAGTAGCGGGTCTGTTCCTAGACGTCAAATCGGCATACCCTTCGGTATACACATCCAGACTGATAGACCGCCTGCTCCAACTCTCCTGTCCGAGATACCTAATCTCCATCATCTCCTCCTTTCTGTCCAACCGGACCACCTCGATGAGACTGGGGGACTATGTCTCCTCCACATTCGCCATCAAAGAGGGGCTCCCCCAAGGGTCACCCTTGTCGGTCACCCTCTACATCATATATAATAGCGGTCTTTTTACCCACCGTACACTTTCACTCGATGACTCCAAGATCACAATAGGATATGTAGACGATATAGTCCACCTAGTTGCAGCTGATTCAATGGACCACGCAATATCTCTGCTCCAAGAGGAAGCCTCCCGATCCCTTGTGTGGGGTCGAAAATACGGTGCCATTTTTGACCCAAAAAAGGTGGTACTAATGCTCTTTTCACAGAAATCTTTGTCCCCACCCACATTCGACTTTGACGGCCACACCCATGAATTCCAAAAATCCGCCCAATGGCTGGGAATCATCTTGGATCAACGTCTGACGTTTTCCGAGCATTTAAAAAAGGTGAAGGCTACTGGGGACCTCACCATCAACCAATTGGATCGAATCGTCAAATCAACATACGGCCTGAACACCGCTTTGACCAGGAAACTGATAATCTCAATCCTCTACTCCAGAGTTCTCTTTGGCAGCATTATCTGGTACAACAGAAAAAATGCCACCACAGTGACAAAGGTACTTGATGGAATATACCATCGGGCTTGCCGACTGGTAACTGGCCTGTTCCGCCAAACGCCTCTGGTGTTCGTAAGGAAGAGCAGCGGACTGGTTGCTCCCGGGGAGATCCACCTCCGCAACTCACATTTTTACATTCTTCGCGCCATGACTTACCCGCCCACACACCCTGTACACCGCATCCTGCGGGAAGAACTGACCAGCAAACAACCCCCTTTCCCAAGCCCTCTACACCTGCTAATGACCCCCACAGACAGATATAGCTTCCCAACAACTTTAACGGAAACCATTCAACCGGTCCCAGCCCCCCCTTGGATCAATCCAATCTCAAGCATAAAGAATTTGTTCGACAAGAGGACCGAAGTACTGCAGCGCATCCCGGCCCAACTACAACAAGAGGTTCAGAACCAATCTCTGATCATCTTCACAGACGGCTCGTGGGTGCCTGAAAAAGGAGCAGGGGCGGCAGCAGTGACACATCCCCTGGGAGAATGCATCGCCACGGAAATACGCCCAGCAGATGCAATTTCAAACTTCGAGGCGGAACTAATTGGGATAAAGCTCGCGGTAATCCTGGCGAAAAGGATAATAGAGGCAGATGTCTCCAATCAGTTTACAGATGTAGCCATCTTTAGCGACAACCAGGGCGCTCTGATGCTCTCATCAAATCCCATCTCGTTATCCTCCGGTCAAAGTATCTACGCTGACAATTTTTTCCAGTTGAAGCTCATAGGCCGGACAATCAAAATGTTCTGGTGTCCCGGGCATGAAGGAATCCCGGCCAACGAGAAAGCGGACACGTTGGCCAGGAAGGCCGCACTAGGGGAACCATTACCGGTCAACTGCATATTCTTACCAACAGACGTGCCAGGCAGTCTAGCAAAGCTAAAGCAAATTTGCAAGACCCGCCTCAGAACCCCTGAGGTATTATCGGATGATGACTCACGCCGTTTTGCATTCTCCAAAGACAGCACGAAGTTCTTACAAGCAATAGACACCCAAGAAAAAGGCCTGGCAGCAACGATACTCCAACTTCGAGCGGATACAGCCCCCCTGAATAATTTCCTTTTCAAGATCAAAGCCATACTCGATCCGAGATGCACTAATTGTTTTGTCCTAGAAAATGCAGCACATTTCCTCATGTTTTGTAACAGGTACAGACAAGCTCGGAAAGTTTTTAAACGAAAACTCCGACAGCTCAAATGTCGAGTGAACCCCAACTCCTTTCGGTCTATCATGGACAACCCAAAAGCGGTCGACGAGGTTTCCAACTTCATCCTGGCGACCAACAGATTCCCAAACATTCAACAATACAACCCCTCAAAAGATTCTCCCTAATCCATGGTTTCTCTTCCTTTTCCCTCTCCTTTCTATCTTGTTCAGGTTTCTAATTTTCCCTTAGACTTCTTTCTCAGCATGAAGATTTGTCTCCAACGATTGTACATATATGCGACGGATTAGGAACCTTTATCCTGACTCCCTGAAGACCGACGGTACTCAGGTTACTGGGGGATAACCTGAGGATCCGATTTCTCTTTCTCGGCTGCTTGCTAGAGGTTGTGGGGGCCCGATGCGCGCTGATGAGACATTCATATGGTGGGATGGGATGACGGGTCAGGGTTTCCGAAATCCTGAGCTAGAAAAAAAAAAACCCATTTTTTATCTAGTTGTCTCTGCTCCTTTTCCTCCCTTTCATTATTTAAGTCTTCCTCCTACTGTCTTCCGGTGATTCTCTCTATATATATACCTGCTGTTCCTTTTTAGTTCACCGTTTATTTCTTCTTTATTTCTTCTGCCTAAAATTTTCTTTTCTCTCGCATCCTTTTGTTTCCTTATCATCTCTTATCTTTACACACCACATGAGCTATTATGTCACCAGTTCCGTTTATTTATATTACACAACGTTATCACTTTGTTTCAAGGTAGTATTTGTACATACATGTCACAAGTTAGATAGATAGTGCGGTATGTGAAATCAATAGCACTTTAAAAAAAAAAAAAAAAAAAAAAAAAAAACCTGATCTCCGGCCGATGCAACTGAAGTCTGCGCCGGTCCGAACAATCAGAGGGGAGGTGGAAGATACATACATGTACACGAAATATCAATGAAAAAACCTTGTCATAATGCAAGATTTATGACGTTGAAATTGAATTTTCCTCCCAAGACGTTTTGCACCTGGTGATATTATTCCACTTCTTCTTTCTTCACTATTTGCTGGACCTTGCCACCATACATGATACATTACAAAATGTTGGCCAAAAGGCAATGGTCATTTTCTCTCTTCGAATTTTAAGAGATGTGTCAACCAAAGACTTTCATCGACCCAAACCAAAAATTAACTATCTGAAGAAAGTTATAGGTCAAGGGGACGGGTCCATATGGCATCAGCAAAGAATATAACTTCTTCCCCTTATTCAAAAGCCAATGCTCCAGCAAAACAAGTACCTACATTCCTCCCCAAACAAAAACTCCTAAACCATAACAAAACATGCAAACAATCAAATCCAAAATGGTCCACATGGATAACTTTCTGATCAAGGTTCTTCCAAGAAGCTCATCACCTGAGCTTGATCAGCTAGAACTGAACAATGATAACAAGCTCACATCAGTAGGGCTCAGTAAGAGGTCAGAAATTCACTTTTTGAGATGTGTAAAACCACCAGAAACCAAGACGAACCCGAAATTCGAATCAAGTGCATAAAAAAAGACTTGTTCTGTTCAAGCCTACTATGTACACAGAGATGTTATCTGCAACTTTTGGGCGCTAGAGGGGGCTGGGAGATTCTTGTTGAAGGCATATTCTGTCTTTCTGCAAATAGTGTTGCTAATCTTTCACAGCATTCTCCTGTGACATCTCGAATCCTGACTGAGATCCCCATGAAATTTTCTTTCGGCACTGACCACCGATCACTCGAGCACCGTGCCATCAGTGCTGGAACATAAACTCAGCCCAGAAACTTTCCAGCTCTCAGCCCCAAGGATTATCCAGAGACTTCTTCACTATCAAGCCGTCTAGCCAGCTAAATCTGGAGATCATCCACCGTCGATAACTCTGTATCAATCCCTGCTCCGATCAAGTTTGACATCATCGCTCAAGTGGAAGAGCCCTCAAGATATATCTCGCGATACTTATACTTGCCGCGAACCATTCATTATCTGGGATAAATTTTTTTGAAGGATTTGGAATCATATCCGACAAACTTCCTTTTTCTTCCCCTCATGCCAGAGTCATCCTTGTCTATAAAATCCACAAGTCTCACTGGCCAAGTCGAGCATGATAATCTGACTGTCCATGCCACAAATTCATATCCCTTTTGGCTAGGTGGTCAGTTCAGTTCAATCAATTCATCAAATCACTTGCTCACTAGCTGAGTCGGTCTCCTTTGCTTCCTTCGTTGATCCTCTGATGTAGGACTGGCTGCTTCAATGGCTGCGATCTGTACCCATCCGCTTGATATGGCCAAAGTGTAATTTCCCGCAGTCTTGGTTGCATTCGCGTCTTTTGCCCACACATGTGGAACTCTTCCAGTTTGATCGCCAGTCTGATACAATTCATGACCACTCATTCTGCACTGTTATCCCTTATTTCGCTTCGTTTTCTAGCCGAATGCAAACCGGTCCAACGCGTTCAATGTTACAGACTCTCGTCAGTGCCGTCAAACTAGAAGGTCTTCGGAAGGGCGCCTACGTTGGACTCTCGGCCTCCCTGGCTAGACAGATGACCTATTCAGTCACCCGGTTCGGCGTCTACGATAATTTGAAACTGATGCTCGCAAGTCATAGCGGGAACCCAGATACGGCCAAACTGCCTTGTTATCATCTCGCCATCGCTGCTAGCTTGGCTGGTGCTGCCGGTGGGCTAGCTGGGAACCCGGCCGATGTTATCCTTGTAAGGATGACTAGTGATATCAATCACCCGGTCGAAAAACGAAAAGGGTACAAGAATTGGTTAGTTCCCCTGCAGGTTTAGAATTTTAACCCCACAGCAAAGAAAATCGAACCACGCCCATAAATTATGTGAAGGAAGGCATAAAATATCACAGATTACAAAGGTCTGACATACTGTTTTCTGCATCACATCGGCATTCCCAAATGGACATTTGTCGAAAAAAAAAATCAATCAAAATTCAAGTTTTCAAGCCCTGTTCCGCATGATCCGAGAAGAAGGTTTCGGCAGCCTTACAAGGGGCCTGGGCCCTAATCTTTCTCGATCAATCCTGATGAACGCAAGTCAGTTGGCAACGTGAGCCACAATATTTCAAATTTGACCCGTATTTTTCCTCGTCTTCTTTTTGACTTGTCGCGTTATTTCAACAGATACGATAGCATCAAGGAGGGGTTACTAAACACCAAATTCTTCCATGAAGGCCTTTGGCTACATTTTTGCGCAAGTTCAATGGCTGTAAGTCTTCATTTATCAAGCTAGCCTTTTGTTTTTCTCTCCCCTCTTTTCTTTGTTACTATCTTTCACAGCCTAAATTGTTGGTTCAATAAGTCGAAGGTTTGGTAATCTTCTTGAATAAATGCTAATCACACCCCCAGGGAGCTATAGCTACGACAATATGTTCGCCATTCGATGTCGTTAAATCACGTGTCAGTCAACCCGTTTTTTTCCCAAACTTTCCCCACCAAATTTTATAAATTGAACTGCTGCTCAACTAACTTGACCGTTGATACTTTTCCTTAGATCATGAATACCATACCAGGAAGTGCCACGGTACCTCAGGTGATTCGACAGTCATTCAGAAGCGAGGGCGTCGGCTGGATATTCCGGGGATGGACGCCTGCTTTCATACGATTAGGACCCAATACAGTGTAAGAACGCTTTGATTTTTCAGTTGTATCCTGAAATTTCTCCAGAATTGAACTAATCCTTGGTTCATACATTTGCGATCCTTCGCTTACAGTATCATTTTTGTTGGACTTGAACAATTGAGAATCGCGACGGACTTCATCAAGAATAGATGAATACATCAGTCTTGAAGAGAATCGTTTCAAATATTGACGGTTTCTTTCGTTTTCCTCCCCTTCCCCCCTCTCTCCCTGATTCTTTGAATATCGTATGATTTGTATCATTTCGCCCGATCCCCATCTTATTCTCATTCTCCTCGTCGCATCGTTGAACCCCCATGACTGTCTCACAATAATAATAACTTGCAGATTCACAATCATCTAGGTAAATTAATCTTCTCGCACCGCTTTTCAACGTCGATTATACGCAACTATCTATACAAAGTATGCACATATATACCTCCGCGCAGAAGACAACATCAGCAAAAACCCTCAAATTGTATATAGATCGATCGTGTATATAAACAGTAGTATGAAGAAGAAAACTTTATGATGGACTTTACATTGTCAATTCAACCTTTAAGTAGTTTGACCTGAATGTAGTTTGAATCGAAGTTGTAATCAGTGTTCACCAGACAATGGCTTGCATTAATATAGGAACAGTAAGATTGAGCTCTGTCTTGGCGTGTAAAATAATGGGACTTGGTGGAAGATCAGTTCATGCCTATGTACTCTCAAAAAACGACAATTATTGAAGGAAATCATATGAGGTTGGGGAAGGAAGTGAAGTTAAGAAATGATAAGAGGCAAAATATGTACAAATCTGATAGAAAAGTAATATTAACACAACGAAAAGCAATGGTGGAACATCTGTACCATAAATAGTGTAGCATAGCAGTCTTTTCACCTGACAAACTAATCTGAAGGGTAGTTTCCAGAGCACTCCCACTAATTCTTCTTTTGATCCCTCAAAAAATGTACATTTTGTTGCACCAGGTTATAAGCAGACAAAAACCACTCAACCACTGCAATTCAGAGGTCATGTCACAAAAGGCCCCTGAATTGTCTCTGGGCTTAGTGAAGCAATGAAGCTTGACTATTCTATGTAGAGACTGAGATGCACAAGGAAAAACAAAAAACATGAAAAAAAATATAATCTAACTTTCACTTTACTTGCTTTACTGATATTGTTTCCCCTGTTGTAAACTACAGGAACTGTTTGACCAACCTCTTCCAAACAGTTGTTGGACAGTCTGTGTAAAACAAGTCCCTCATTCTCTGGGACTGGGTGGCAGAATGTTTTGGAAAAATCTGCCTTAAAACAGCTTGGAAAATGCTGTCCAAGCAGTTAGTTTTTAAATTGTACCAGTCTTATTTTACTTCTGATCTTGAAGTCTTATATCCTGGCAGTTCCACTCTTCCAATAACATATCTTGTCATCTCAAACCTATGCTAATAGCTTGTTATTTTATTCTTGTATCTTGTCTCCCACTTATTAGCCATTACATATTTCAGTATCTCATTACAATTGTCTCAGTTTGGAGAAGAAATAGATGAATTGGATGACTTCCCGTCAACATCTGCGGGTCTCCCAGTTTTAATTTAGAGCCGCAAAAGCTAGATTTCCCTGCGAAAATCTAGACTTTTGGGCTCTAAATCATAACCTGTGAGGGTCCCAGATCCGAAGGGAAGTCCTCCATTCTGAGCCTTATTAATAGGGCCTCGAGACGAACAACTCCCAGGAATTGGATCAACATTCCACAGAATCCACTAGGTTTGGGATTTGTTGCTTCAGTTCCTGGGAGGCATTTAACCAAGTCCCTATTGAAGTTTTCCACTCTTTCAAGCTCCTTGGTCCAATCATCTTGCAGCGCATTGTATGTAGATCCTGAGGATGGATCCTTAACACAAGTACCTCCCTGGGCCCAAAGGGCCCCCTCCTGTCAGGGACGGACTTGTACATAATGTCGCACATCTGGGCTGAGGGCATCCAGCCAAATGGCCGGATAAATCACAAAACACCCCATTTCCCCCACAAGATCACTGTTTTTAGGGAAGCCGCGCAGGACATAGACTCGCATGATTTTTCTCATTTTTTCCATGTCTTTACTTTCCTACCACTCCTCCTCAAGCCAAAGATATTATGCTCAATCAAAAATTAAAAATACAAAATCTGATTTGACCATGACCGGATATCTCCACACCAATGTCCGGTCTCACGCCCTCATGACAACCATGTCATTGAGCCTCCGAGTCTCACTCTCACTCACATTCATGCTGTCAAAGAACCTGTCAACTACGCCATAACAAGTTTTATAAATTCCAATCCGGTCATGCGAGCATGATCCGACTATCTGAAGGAGAGGAAAAAAACAAATTTATTACTATTCGCCGAGATTTAAATCCCAAAGCATGTCCTACTTCAAACAGAGGTAGGAGGCTCATTTCTGTAGCTAAAAGTTTTTTTTTTTGTTCAACAAAAGCCAAGATGCAAGGCTCACCTCCAGTAACATCATTCCCTTCGAAGGAATTGAGGTTTTGGAGGCAAATCAATTTGAAGTTTAAAAGTGTGAAATTTCAGCCTTAAACCTTATGACCTCAGGCCGCAAGGTCGATTTATCATGTAAGCCTCTCCTTCGGAGGTCGTCCTTCGGACGTGGGGTCCCTTCGGGACCCTCCGATCGAGAGGCTTTGTTAAAGCTCGTGCCCGCCTGCCCTCGAGGACGCCTCGGGGGGCTTTGGCTGGTATGCAGTGTCTCGTATGCAAAATGCCCCGGGTTCCCATCAGCCGGCTTTCCCAGTCGGCCCGGCTGGAGCAGACTGAAGCCGGCCAATGAGCTCCTACTCGATCCGCTTGTCCAATCTCCTCAGCCGCAAGCAACCACGGCCGAACAACTACTTCACAATGGGAAATCAGGTCCGGCAGCGGAGTGTCTCACTCTCACCAACTCCCAACGAATCAAACGAACCAATTGCCAAGCGTGTTCGACTTGAACCCGAGACTGTAACAGAACCCTTGAAGCTTCATCCTGGACATAAACTCTATACACCGGGTGTCTACCTAGCCCCCATGGTCAGAATCGGAACGCGTTAGTTTTCAGTGCTATGCTACTCAGACTGGTAGACAAAAGTCAAGAAGAAGTACTGACTTTATTTTCTATTTTTCAAGTGCCCACTAGACTACTAGCCTTGGAGTACGGCGCCGACTTGGTTTGGGGACCCGAAATTGTAGACAAAGCAATCATCGGATCTACAAGGGTAGTTGATGGTCAGTCTTCTGAACTTATTCTGTTTTCTGTGATTTTGTAGACTGAATCCATTTTGACCAATCCTGATAACAGAGTCCAGTGGAACCATTCAGTATACCAAAAACAACGGGACTAGTTCGATTTGGCAAACCCATCCTATTGAGTAATTGAAGTAAATCTGATGTTTTGAGTTGTAATCCTTTCAGCTGATCGACGTTCTGATTTTAGAAAGTCTCGTCTAATTTACCAGATTGGAAGTGCTAACAAAGAACTCGCTCTTCAAGCAGCACAAACCGTCGCTAACGACGTTAGTGGAATCGACCTCAACTGTGGTTGTCCTAAGGTCTGCACCCATTTAAAACTCTTATCAAACTATAAATCTTTCGCTAAAAATGGATCATACTTACTTTTCTTCTGTAATCTCATTAGGATTTTTCTCTCAAGGGTGGGATGGGCGCCGCTTTACTGAAAGAACCAGATAAACTGTGCGGTGTAAGGTTTAGCCATCCAATTAACTCCAATTCTCTTGAAAGTACAACTTAATATCATCGATTTCCTACGCAGATCTTGACACATCTAGTTCAAAATCTACCCACTCATCCAATCTCTGTCAAGATAAGATTGCTACCCAGCCAAGAAGATACGCTATCACTGGTAAAGAAGATATGTGACACAGGTGTATCTTGCTTGACTGTCCACTGTCGCACACAACCGATGCGATCCACCGAGCCGGCCCTTTTACATCGACTGAGAGAAATCGTCGACTTTGTCAACGGGATCCGGACGAGTGAGAATCCGCTCCCAGTGGTCGCCAATGGAGACTGTTTTAGTGCCCAGGATCTGCCTAAATTCAAAGAGTTGACTGGGGTTTCTCGAGTCATGATTGCGCGTGGAGCCGAAAGTAATGTATCTTGTTTCAGGCAGGATGGGCTTCTCAATCCTATCGAAGAGATCATGCCGCGGTACATCCAGACAGGTTTAATAACTAACCAAGCTTATCCTAACGCAAAGTGAGTGGATTTCTCTCATCCAACACATGGGTTTTGCAGAACTAAAAGAAAACTGTCTACATCTCTAGGTATTGTCTATCTACGATGGACGTCAAAGCGCACACCAATGAATCCAAGAGCGGCGCAAGTAAGAACAAGTTTACTCGCAAGGAACTCAAGACCAAGATCCAACAATGCAAGGACTGGTCTCAGATGGCGGAGCTTTTCAAGATCGATGTTGAGGCTACTCGTCAGATGCAATTAAAGCAACTCTTTCCAAACATCGTTCCTTTTCCCAGCGTTGCCGATTGAGGCATCTTGCACACCGGCCGTCTTCTACTTTGTCCCAAACACGTCTCGCTTCGTTCTCGAACATATTTCATTCCATGTCGGAAAAAAACGTCTCTCCTGCCGTAGCTACTCGTCTAACGGATCCTGAAGCGCTCTTCTCCAACCTTTGTTCAATAAACCGTAATAAATTTCATCGGAACCCGGGATCAAGCAAAACGGAAAATTAATAAGTAGCCAAAAACTGCTGGTGAGGAAATGTGGTACGCGAAGATAAAATCAGCATGTGTGAATTAGCAAGTCGACTTACTGAACTTAATTTTTAATGAAGAGTTCATACTATCAAACCAAATCAAATGTTTTCAAATGAAAAACAATATTTTGGGGGGTCGCACTTTGTCCCCAAGCAGCGTTTCAGGCTGCAGCCGCTGCACACTCGTAATCATTGGGCGACTCTAATTCTTGAATATGATCGTGGTGTGGACACGGGTCGTTATTTATCCAGGCGTAGTTGCCACATTTTCCGCATGTATATTGATGGAAGTAAATTCTCTTATCGCACCCGCCAGCTGGAAGGTTCTCACACGTCTTGGTTATGGTCTTAAACGCCGTCATATAAGTAACTTCATGACATTGACGAATGACTGCATCCCGGTTACAGAAGACACATATTTCGGGTCGGGGTTCCGAGGGCAATGTAGCTGTGTCGCCATTGAAACACATTGAGAGGGCGCATACGAGCCAGACGCGGGGACTCCGCATAGCCGTGGTGTCGGTGATGTGCGAGGACGAGAAGTGCAGTCGTTGACAATGAGGGTCGAACTTAGGAAATGTTAATGTTGATGGGGGGGGTGGATGAAACAATGGACTGTTTTGTTGAAGTGGGGTGGATTGTCGACTGTGCCAGTAAGGCGTGTCGACGGAGTGATTTTTTTCGCATTTTAAAGGTGGGCAGCTTTATGATCCACTCAACTTCCCAGAGGCAATGAAGCCCAAGAATTGTCTGGTTTCATTGCCAACCAGAGGTTTCCAACTTTTTCCTTGGCAAGATCCCGCCACTGAGAAATGCCGGTGGGGGGAACGCTGTGTAGCAATGTTTACCTGAGATTTGACACATAACAAAAGATCATAAAGAATTTTCGTAATCAAAAAGTATAAATAAATATATTTCAATTTGAAAGGAAAGAGATGGAAGAAAAGAGTGTTCCAGGGGGGGGGGGGGGGGGGGACTTGGGCATGCTTATGCCACTGTTATCGCCGTTCAGAGCTCGTCCTCTTTGCCGAATTCATTGTCATCCAGCTGCCGTGGATAATGGTGGAGTGGGCACGGGTTCATAGTTAACCAGTATGTTAGACCACAATGCGGGCAAGTGTTCTTGTATAAGTAGGCGTGAGTTTCGCATACCGCGGACGGATCGCGACAGGTGCCTGTTATGAACTGCAGTATTTTGCTTGCCAATGGATGTTGGCGGCACTCCAAGGTATCTGTGGACACTTGGCCATGACACTCCGGACATACCACCGAGATGGCGGAGCCCGGAGTCACAACATTGAGGAATAGCAAGAGGAGGATGGCTAACCACGCTTGGGGGGTCCACATAGCAGCCGCACGTGCGCCAAGTTGATCTCTTGCAACAGGAGTCGAACTCGGGGGCTGGCAGGGAATCAGAAGACGAATATATAGGAACCAGGGGACGAAATGCAGTGGGCTCTTGAAGCTGAATGATTGTTCTGCTGTGCCAGCAAAGCATGGCAAGAGATAGTTTTTTGAACATCTTAAATCACTTCCGGTGCCTGAAACTTTACATCTCAAGGTCAAAACAGTAGTGGGGTTCACATTTCAATTTTTTTGCTTCTGTCCCTGCATAAGTCTCATCTGGTTGCTTAAATTTGACATAAAATTGGTGACTTTCTGGTCACCTTCTGGACACAACCCAACTAAGCAACACCCACATCTTGCTGATGTGTTGCCCAGACCCCAAAGAAACCATTCCAAGGTCATGGATTTGATTGGGTGCATACTCATGATGTGGGTTGCAAAAAATGTTCATAAAGCTTATTTTGTGTTTTCACATAAGGCTTAGATCCAACCACTTTGGGTAATGAACCTGGTGTTCAATGTTGGGTAAGTCAGGTCTTTTCAAAAGGAAACGTTCTGCAGGGAACAAGAGTGTTGTCAGAGGTCCCAAGTTTGACTTGACTCAAGGAAATTGGGTTCATGTGTGGAGACCCAATTGGAGACCCATGAGCACCTCTTGAGTTGACCCAAATTCCTACCCAACCCAGTAACCAATTGATTACTTCCGGGTCATCAGGTTTTGGATCTAATCCTTATTTCCACAGTTCACTAAACTTACATCTGTAAAAATTGAATTGTGAATCCCACTATCAAGGAAAGTTCATATTGACCCAAAATTGCTGCTAATCTCAAACAGGTTTGTTGGATATGCTATTATGCACCCTTCTTTAGTTTATGATTTCAATCATGCGATCTTGCTTCTGATTGAGGGCAGCTTATGAGGGCTCACCTATTACTACCAAGTCTTTTACAAATTTGGATCATATTCAAGAAAGTACACCACAGGGCAAGTTTTTTGAAACTGGCCCCCCCAGCAACGGTGGGCTAGTTACACTAACTGTAGTGTTAGTGTAGCAAAATTCCGCTAAACCTTAGTTTAGCGTAGCAGAATTCTGCCACATCTGCACTAACACTACGCGCATAGGCCCCAAAAAAGGGCCCACTACGCTATGCCACCACGCTGGCTAGGGGTTTTTGGCCCTGTAGCGTAGCGTAGCAAAAATCCCTAACACTACAAATTTTTGGCACAACAAAAGCACTGCCACGCTAGGCTTTTTGGGCCAAAAGTGTGACGTAGCGTAGCGGCCCACCGCTGCCCCCAGATGGACACTTTCCTGAGGAAAGCGTCCATTGGATGCAATCAAATTGTTCAAGGGATGCTTTGGCAAGTTGGCATCTCTTGGATGCTTGGGCATCACTTGGATGCTTGTGCATCACTTGGATGCTTGGGCATCACTTGGATGCTTGAGCATCACTTGGATGCTTGGGCATCCCTTGGATGCTTCCAAGAGCATCCAAGTGATGCTTGCCCAAGACAACTGTCTGATGGACACTAAAAATCACTGTCCATTGGACACTTGAGATTTCAATTGCCTAATTGGAGCTGGTGGCAGATGGTTGAAAAAAGCTCCTAAAGTGCAGTCAATTGTCAAATAATTGCTCAAAAGTGCAATGTGATTTTATTTCCAACATTTCAGGGCACCAAGGAGAAATCAAATTGTGTAGTGTGGTGGAAAGGAAGAGTCTAAAGGGAGTTGAGGACGTCAGGATTGAAGGAAAAAGGTTATCAGTTCACATCCTCAGTGCCTCATTTTTTTCTTTCACTGCAGTGACCCCAAAAAGCATCCAGTGGAAATCTGAAAAGCCATCCAACAGTCAGAAAGCCATTCCATGGACAGCTGGAAAACTATCCAGTGGTCAGTTTTGTGGAAACTGTCCACAAACTGTCAGGCAGCGTAGTGTCCAATGAACACTATCTTCCCAAGTGCTGGACAGCTCAGATGTCCCAGAATGATGTCCATGGGACATTAGGTTTTTCCTGTGGTGTAGATTGCCCACTTATTTAGGAATAATGGATGGAATTGATCTTCAGTAAGCAGGATCTACAGAAAAAGTTTGTATCTTCAAACCCATGGGGCACTCTTGAGCACTCTTTATCAACTCACTCCCTAAATTTCCTGTAAGAGGATCTTGGCCCATTGAATTGGAGAGCCATCATAGCTCCTCTGTAGCATAAAATTAACACATATTATATTTACAAATCTTGATGAACAGTTATGAATAGATATCTCAGCCTTCTTCTTTTCCCTTCCCTGTCACTCATTCATTTTTTCCTCCAGAGTGAATATGCATTGTCAACTTCTTTCCACAACCTTCCCCTCAGTTGTAATAGATATAGACTTTCTTGATCTGAAAGTAATACACTCATCAGCTCTCTGAGTGCTTTTACCTGTGGTCTTGAAGACATATAACCTCTTGTGGAATGAGCAATTTTCCGCCACAAAAGCTAGCAGCTCTAGCCCATTTTTTAGCTCTTTGGACTTTGTTTTTCTTTAGAGCTGGATTTGGCCACTCTTCCCTTCCTTCCCTCAACTTTAATTGTGGAATTTTGTCAGCTATGTGTATGAAACTTTTTGAGTTTTCACCTCTTTTGGCCTACTCCTCCCTAAAATCACCCTCTTTTCTTCTCATCCTTTTCTCTCTTTTTCCTTCTTGAATCATCTTGACCTGGACTGAATTATATTCAATCATAGCTGTTTTTTGTCTTGAATCTTATGCTCTATTGTAGTCTAATTAGAACTCATCATGGCAATTTTCAAACAACTCTAGTCTCATTGATTGATTTCTTTCTTTCTCTAGTTCACCATTTGATTCTTTTAAAAGCTAATTATTTAGAATTAACGCCTCTGAATATTTGTGATAGAATTCTGGATTTTTCTTGATTAGCTTTTCTTGTCTGACTAAAAGAGACTGAGAAATCCGGCTAAGATTGTTTCTTCCAAGACTTCAAATTATTCTGTCTCTTAGTTTTTATTCAACATTACTTTTTTATTCAATTTTCGTCAACCACAGGTTGATCACATGTATTTAGTCTATTTAATCTGGCTATTTACCTGTGAATGAAAATCATTGGTTCTTTCATTCATTTTCCGTGAGCCTTTCCCAAAAAAAGTCCCTCATCCTTTTTTGAGCCCCTTTTCTCAAACTCCTCAAAATCCTTCCCCTCTCGAGCTCAGAATTTCAACAAAACTTTGGCTTAATTTATATAAAAGCCAAGTACTATCACTGTGCTGAAGTACTCAGGTTAAAGACCAAGATTACTCCTAGTCACCCTCAAAGTATTAAGTGGTCCAAACTTCCCACTAAGAGGTTGAAAAGTCCACACTCCTCAGTTAATGACACTTGAATAATCAAGAGAGCACTGTAGGAGACAATAACAGAATATGTTATTGTAGAGTGTTTGGAAGCAATAATTAATATTGCAAGAAGTAGCTGGCAAGCACCTGAGCTGAAAGGCTACAGTCAGAGGTGGTGGTATTGCAGCAACTACTTTTTAAGGAATTAGTTAAGTTTTGAGTCTGGGATAACTCTCAGCTTAATAGTAATTCCAGTAAGAAGGTAGGGTTGGATTGGATAAAAAGACCACTCTAAAAGTAGGTGGAGAATATTCACTGTATTCACTAAGTGTACTGGGGGTGAATATGCTGAGGAACCAATCCTAGGCAGGAGAAGGCCTCCTTAAATATTCTAGAGGTCCCCTTGAGGCCCTCCTTGAATATTCTAGAATCTATCTTTGGTCTACCATGGTAGAGTTATTCCCCTGATGTAATGGGAATAATTCAAGGTATTTCAAATAATGTATGTTCTATGTCCCATGACATCATGATGCATATTTATAGCCAATTACATCATGTGTCTACTTAAAATAGAATACTACTAGTAGAAAGGTGCAACACTCTTGACATGGTGTGGTAATTTTCTTTTCTACAAGTTTAATAATTTAATTATGCTTGTAGTATAAAATTTCTAAGTTTACCTTAAATGTATATTTAACCCTAATTTAATATACATTAATTTAATTATATATTTTTGTATGTTTTATTCTTTTTTTCCTTCAAGGTTTTGAATATATACAAAGTCCTTGAAGGAGTAGGAAATTGGGGATACTTCCAGTGGGCAACCCCCTTTATAATCTTATGAAATATGGTCTTATTAAATAATAGGGGCTTGGTTAATCAACTCCCCAAAATTGGAGAGTCGACTCCCAAACCCCGAAACCCCCGAAATTAGGGAGTCGATCCCCCAAAACCGTTGACCGGTTTGGGAGTCGACTCCCTAAGAATTTAATAAAAAAAAATAAAACCCCCGGTTGGTTTGGGAGTCAATCCTCCCAAACCGACCAGGGTTTGGGGGTCGATAAACCAAATCAACCCTCCACCCCACGGCAGCGGCCGGGAGGATTCCTCCCGGCCGCAAGACCACATTCTCAATGGCCAAGAGTGGAGAGGAGAAGAGACATTGAGGGTATGTACACTCTTGACCCCAAGAGGGTTTCTCCTCTCGGCCGTCGAGGTGTACACTCTCAACGGCTGAGAGGAGAAACCTCTCGGCGTCGAGAGTGTACATACCCTCAACGGCCGAGAGGGTTTCCAGAATGGGGTCTCATGGCCGGGAGGCATCCTCCCGGCCGCTGCCGTGGGGTGGGGGTTGATTTGGTTTATTGAACCCCAAACCCTGGTTGGTTTGGGAGGATCGACTCCCAAACCAACCGGGGGTTTTTATTTTTTTTTATTAAATTCTGAGGGAGTCGACTCCCAAACCAGTCGGTGGTTTTGGGGAATCGACTCCCTAATTTCGGGGGTTTCGGGGTTTGGGAGTCGACTCTCCAATTTTGGGGAGTCGATTAACCAAGCGCCAAATAATATTATTACATATTATATTACATATTGAGTATTTAATATTCAATATTCATTTAGCAGTCTTTTGGATACTATGGAGTATCTCTAAGGCTGACAAATTTCAACATGAAGAGGACTCTCAGTTATTTTACTTGAACTGGAACAGCAGCATTAATTCTATCCATTCCTCCCAAGACCATTGGCTATTTTTTTGTATCACTAGTGATAATACACTTGATTTTACTAGAGATGGTCGTGTTGGATCCGGATATCCGCGCGGATGCAGATATCCGCTGAAAATTTCAGCGGAATCAGGCATCCGCACCCGCATCCGCATCCGCTGGCGCTGGCGGGTATCTGCGCGGATATCCGCGGATACCCGCCCTCTTACTGGTTGACGCCGGCTAGGGGGATTTTTTTTACAAAAAACAAGAAAAGAAAAATAACTGGCCCCCCTCGGCCTATAGAGGAGAGGCCATGCCGCCTGGAGGAATCCCTCCCGGTGAGCTGGTGTAGTGTGCACATACCAGCTTGTCGGGAGGGTTTCCTCCCGGCGATCTGGATTTCAAACCAGCTTGTCAGGAGGAACGCCTCCCAACGAGCTGGTATGTACACCAGCTCGTCGGGAGGGATTCCTCCCAACGAGAGCACCAGCTCGTCGGGAGGGATTCCTCCCAACGAGAGCACCAGCTCGTCGGAAGGAATCTCTTCTGACGAGCTGGTCTTTGTACCAGCTCGCCGGGAGGGACTCCTCCTGACGAGCTGGTTTAAAATCCTCCTGACGAGCTGGTCTGTGTACCAGCTTGCCGGGGAGGGATTCCTCCCAACAAGCTGGTGTACATACCAGCTCGCCGGGAGGGATTACTCCCGATGTAAGACTCAAAAAGTGGTTGTAAGACCCTTTTTGCTGAATTGAGAAGGGGATGGTGGAGGTGCAAGCTCTGCCCTTCTATAGTATCAGATAACAAGACCCACCAAGCTTAGCTTGGAAAGTTTTAATCAAGTGATAGGGTAAGTTCAGGAATGAGTTTGTGTGATGCTGAGAATGAGTTGAGTTGTTATTGGTGTTGGGTAAGGTTCTGTAAAGGTGGTGTATCTGTGATTGAGTGGTACTAAACTGTGACTGATGAATAATACCCTGAGGAGACAACAACTGGGAGGAGAGCCTCCTTATATAGAAAATAGTGAGGGAATTTAGCTTCAGGGCAGCCAGTAATGAGTGATTTTGGCTGGCCTGGGCTATTACATGAGGGATTTTAGCTACATACATAATTTGAATGAGTGAATGTGATTGGTCAGACATGTACAAGAGTTAAAGTGGTGGGCCAAACAGTTGAAAGAGTGATTCTGATTGGTCAGGTTGTGTGGTGTTTACAAGTGAGTGTGGTGGTGTAAGCTGCAGCTGTCATGCAAGGAAAATACACTAATTCAGTCAGCAGGTATGATGTAATATGTAGAAGTGAAATGTAATGCAAAGCCCCTTGGGAGGGGCCCAAGGGGTTTTGCGATTGTTCGGGGTTTGAGTTTGGATGACGTTGAGAAATAGCTGCGCCGCAGTCGAGAGCGCCGAGTTGCGGGTGCCTCGTTCCGTGTGCGCCGTTCCGGTCCGGACTAGGATATCCTGGGCCCTGGGGAGCAGGTAGGTCCTGTAAACCAGCCGGTCTACATTCCCCCAATCCCCACCGCCACCGTTCTTCCGACCTCTTCTGGCCTTCAATCGGATTTGCGATGCATCGACGACAGGTGAGCTGATTTTTTTTATTCTTACATAACATTTCTACCTATGCTGAATGCTGCCTTTCAATTGGTCAGGATTCAGCAGATTTTGTCTTGTGTTCTTCCAGCAGCCAAATCAAGCGAGTTGATTGGCCAGGACTGTCCGTCCACAACAGGGGTAGCCAGGAGTGAAATGATCATCCGACGATATCAGACCGAATGCGTGGTGTAGCGTGTCGCGGGGTTGTTTGGGGCTGCGGCAGCAGTCAAGAGCGCTGAGCCGTCGGCGCTCCATTCCGTTTTACGCCGTTCCGGTCCAAGTTCATGTCCCTACACGCATCTGAGAGCCGACTTCAATTCTGAGCAATACCGCCGACATCCTCAAACCACTCCGGCTTCCGATTCCTTCCGCGGTCTTCGATCGGATTTGCGATGCATCGACAACAGGTAAGTTGTTTCTTTCTTCTCAAGAGTTCTATTGCTGCTGAATCCTGCCTTCCTATTGGCCAGGACTCGTCGGATCTGTGTCGTTATTCTTCCATCCGCCGAATCCATCAAGGTGATTGGCCAGGATCAGTCCGCGGCACGGGGCGTAGCGCGTCGCGAAGTCGTCTTCGAGGGTCAGGTGAGCCTTGTTTTCTTCTTTCTCCTCGGTTTTTGCTGTGTAGTGTTTCGGCTATAAAAGAGAGGGGCTTGTGCAAGGTTAAGGAGTGCTGGGGCCATAGTTGAGAGCGCTACGCTGTTGGTGCAGCGTTCCGTGATCGCTTCTCCGGTCGGGATTCTGCTCACTAGACCCATCAGCCGGTGCCGATTTTGATTCCGATCAATACCGACGACAGCCGACGATTTCCTCGACCAACTCCGACTTCCGAATTCTTCCAGTTTTGTCAATTGGATTTTTGATGAGCTGCTGACAGGTACATGATTTCTCTTCTTCTTTACATTTATATTTAATGCTGAATCAGCAGGACATAGCACGTCGAGAGCTTGATTTCAACGTTCTTAGTTTCTTTCAGTTCCTTGGTCGTTATGTGAGCTGTAACGATTATAAAAGAAGGGCATCCCGCCTCAAGAGGTTTTCCAGCAGGTTCAGTTGTTCCAAATCAAATCGCATGTGTGTCCGACGATGTCTTCATGAATTTATTGCTGATCCGAGTCAAACACCGCCTCATATAAGCTATTTATCGAATCAGGACTCGAAGTCCGTTTTTAACCCTCCCAGCACTGATGTCCCTATCTTCTGATTAGAATCCGTTTGATTGGACCTTGAACCGCAGTCGGTCGAGGTCATCATTAAGTGATGTCGAATAAAAAAGAACAAAAACTAGTCTTTATAGAATTCCGAGCTTGTCTGAGGTGACCTCACTGCTAATCCAAGCTGAAAAGGACTGAGTCGCTAGTTCAGTTATTGATCGTTGCTACTATCCCACTCAGGTAAGTTTTTTTTTTTCAGATTGCCAATCGTTCCAAGGAGCATGTAACTGATAGTTGTATCTTGGTCATTTCGTCTGGCAGTTCCAAGGTGATTGATCGATCCAAGAAGCGTAGCATTTTTGGCTGTATATATAAAAAAAACTGAAAATTTTCAATAGTTAACAAGAGAAATGAAGCACCCCTCCCCCAACTTAACAGGTTGTCCTCAACCTTATGAGGAATAATCCAGTAAGCTAAGTGATTTAAGGTGAGAAGGAGAAGAAAGGGCCCAAATAATCCAAGAGTAAGGGAGGGTGGTTTGATAGAAGTGTGTAAGTAGAATAAGAGATTTATGGATAAAAAATGGGTCAAGAGTGGTGTGTAAAGGTCAAGTTAGTTGGGTGATTTTTTTTTTTTTTTAAAGGAGTTTCTTGGGTGAGTGAGAATTTGGAATAAAGAATAAGGCAAGGGTAGTGAGGGGAAGCTGAAAGTTGAAAGTCTGAAGTATAAATGAATGTGAGTCCTCCCCCAACTGGAAAAGAATTAATCTGGCTGATGTTAAAGAGTTTTAAACAATATTTTGTACTTTAATTTTTATGTTTTGAACAGTTTAGTCTCATGCCCAGGAGGTGGCCTACGTTTTTATAAGATTTTTGAAGTGGTAAATCTATTTGAACAGGGAAATATAAGGTTGTGCAATTTGAAGGGAAAGGAGGAAGGTTAAGAGAGTGACTGATAAAAGAGTGTGAGTTCCTCCCCCAACTTAAAATAATATTCTGATGTTGTATTCTTGAAGGCTGATATATTCCTCTTGAACTTGCCAGAAACTTTTGAAAATGAATTTATTTGAATTTTAACCAACTCCAACCAGTAGCCTTGAGGGTTTGATGTTTCCATAAGATTTTTGAAGAGGGTCTGGCGGAATTGATAGGGGTAACTGAGAAAGGATCTTCTGAAGTAAATAAAATAGAAGAAATAATTCCCTTGGTGATTCAGATGGAGCAATATTGTTGATTGGTAACTTTGATAATTGTCTAGTTTTCCAGTTTGCTTCATTCTGGGGATTAATAAATGTTGTCGTAATATCTGGTGGATCTGGCGGTTTTGGAATTGAAAAGACTTCTTCAGGAATTGATGCGGTTGAAATTGATGGTGTAAATGGTTGGCTGGAAATAGGCAAGTCTGTTGTTTCAAGATTTTCAGGAGCCAATGGGGCATGAACACTAATAATCTTGTCTTTTGGTTCTTCAATTTGGGTATTCTCAATTTCCAGGTGTTGAGACAAGTGGTTATTGATCCTCAAAAGTCCAAATATGTCCAAAGGAGGCTTAAATAGTTGCTTGTTGAAGATCTTGATTTCCAAATATTTGTTGATATTAAGCATCCAAAATTTGCCGGGGATTGCTGGAAATTTGTGGTCTTCCTTGGAGTTTTCCGCAAGTAGTAAATTTTCACTCTTCACCGGATTGTTTTTGAATGATGGCAACTGATCCAAAGTTTCTGGTTGTGTTGATTGATCCAAGCTTTCTTCCTGATCCACATTGTTCTCTGTATCAGGTTCATCTAGAATTATATCAGGGATTTTGATTACTGTATGTACCAGATCCATTGGTGTATCCATTACGTTTATTGATGCCGCTTTCCATTCTTCCAGATCCAGTAGTTTGGTAGTTGTGACTGGTTCTGTCATTTGCATTGAGGCCACGGGTATGGTGACATCCATTGACTTTTCTGTATCAGCAATGGTGAGTTCCGTATGATTTGCTTCTGGCTCCGTATGATCCGTCACTAGTTCCGTATAATCCGTTTCTGGCTCCGTACGATCTGTCGCTAGTTCCATATAATCTGTCGCTGGTTCCGTATATTCCGTCGCTGGCTCCGTACAATCTGTCGCTAGTTCCATATAATCCTTTGCTAGTTCCGTATAATCCGTCACTGGTTCCGTATATTCCGTTGGTGGCTCCGTATGATCGATTGCTAGTTCTGTATAATCCGTCGCTAGTTCCGTAAGTTCTGTTGCTAGTTCCGTATATTCCGTTGCTGGTGTGGTGTAATCCGTTTCTAGTGCCGTATAATCCGTTTGTGGCTCCGATTGGGACAAAGGATGTGGAGTGTTGCAAATGACAGGTGATTGTGACTCTTGAAGTTGTTGTTTGAGTGACTCAAGTTCCTTGGCTAATTCTTTCAATTTGATCTCCACCCCAGCCGCCTCCGTAAGGTGTTCCCAAAGAGGGGGTAACCTGGATCCATTGGGTGCTTGTGGAAGTTGACCATTTTGATTTAAATTCCGTTTGATATTTCTCTGGAGTTCTTGAGGAAAGGCACTGATGAAAAGAACTAAGGCATCCTGTCTACTTCTCAATTGTTTCTGGATGAGGAGGAAATCAAGTATTTTGGAAAATTTTTGAAGGTACGTCTGGAATGCTTGGTAGCTGACTGTTTTGTTATCTCTAGAAAATTCTTCAGAAAGGTTGACTAGATCAGTTGTTGTATACAGAAGTTCATACTTGTCACCCCATAATTCAATCATTGAGGCCCGTAGAATATCCCAGTCACATTCCTCGTATCCGTCCATGGACTCGATTTGACACTTCAGTTCCTTGGTTTGCACAAACCGTCCAATCTGTAGGGCTCGATCGTATTTGGATGCGTTAATTGAATCTGCCGTCATCTCGTATTGCCTCAAAAACTGCATGAAATGGTGTCCATCGTAGAAAAGTCCAGGTTGTTCAATTAAAACTGGTTTGTTTTGGTTAGTTGGTTGTTGATAAACTGGTTCCTGTTGTTTGGGTTGTTGATAAATTGGTTCGTCCATATCTAGGGTCTTGTCAATTCCAGTTCTGAATATAGGCAGATTTCCCGTCTTCTTGTTTCTCATCCAAGGTGGTGATAGCGTTGATGATGACATTGTAGTTTTTGTATTCCAGTTTAAATTTGAAGTTGGCGCAAAAGGTCGTTTCCTATAATTGGTTTGTGGAGCAAATGATTTTTCCATATCTGATACACCAAATGGTAGACTCATGTTGATTTTGATTGATGTTCCTAGTTTTCCTTACTTGACGCTCCTCGGATACCTAAACAAACAGTTGCTCTGAAAAAGAAACAAATAAAACTTTGGTCGCTGGTTTCTTTACCAGGGCAAGCTTATGGCTTTCTTTTTAAATAATAGATCAGTTAAATACTGGGAATTTCTCCTTTTACAGAATCTACTTATCCAAATCCTTTGGGTACCTTTGCCCTTCTTTTGGTCTATAAGCAGCTGCTTCTTTTGAATATTTCCTGAGTTGTCGTCGAACAGTATCCTAGTTATCCAGATCCTTCGATAATCTTCCTTCTTCTGGTTAATAACTGGCTGTCTTCTTTGAGTCCTCGTTTCAGTCGATGCCTACACTTTCTTTTCAGAGGTTGGTTGTTGGTGTCGTTGAATTGTTTCTTGAAGTTTGACTAGTTGATCAACAGAATAACTGAATATGCCGCTGAGTAGTCGCAAATATGGTTGATAAATTTGATCCAGTTCCCGCTAAAGTTAGTGATCCTTCAACGATTCCTTCTCGTTATTTGTTGAAATTCGATTACTTGATGTAGATCACACAAGTTTATCCTATCACGTTGGGGACTCCCTTGTAAGACTCAAAAAGTGGTTGTAAGACCCTTTTTGCTGAATTGAGAAGGGGATGGTGGAGGTGCAAGCTCTGCCCTTCTATACTATCAGATAACAAGACCCACCAAGCTTAGCTTGGAAAGTTTTAATCAAGTGATAGGGTAAGTTCAGGAATGAGTTTGTGTGATGCTGAGAATGAGTTGAGTTGTTATTGGTGTTGGGTAAGGTTCTGTAAAGGTGGTGTATCTGTGATTGAGTGGTACTAAACTGTAACTGATGAATAATACCCTGAGGAGACAACAACTGGGAGGAGAGCCTCCTTATATAGAAAATAGTGAGGGAATTTAGCTTCAGGGCAGCCAGTAATGAGTGATTTTGGCTGGCCTGGGCTATTACATGAGGGATTTTAGCTACATACATAAGTTGAATGAGTGAATGTGATTGGTCAGACATGTACAAGAGTTAAAGTGGTGGGCCAAACAGTTGAAAGAGTGATTCTGATTGGTCAGGTTGTGTGGTGTTTACAAGTGAGTGTGGTGGTGTAAGCTGCAGCTGTCATGCAAGGAAAATACACTAATTCAGTCAGCAGGTATGATGTAATATGTAGAAGTGAAATGTAAAGAGTGTAGATGTATGTAAATGAGTGTGTATGTAAATGAGTGTGTATGTAAATGAGTGTGTATGTAAATGAGTGTGTATGTAAATGAGTGTGTGTGTATGTGTAAATGTGAGGTTGTACTGTACTGAGGGTTTCTGTGTAGCTTGAGTGTTGTAATTGTGATTGTTGACATGTACTTGATGGTTGAAATACTTGTGATATGTTGTCCATTGTTGGGTAAGAGTTGATCCAGGTGTGTTCCAGTGACGCCTCTGTGGTGACTAAGGGTGAATTTGTCCGTAGAGTCCAGTTCTTGAGCCGTATGGTGTGATTTCTGAGAGAGATTGGGTGATAATATGAAGAAAATATATATATAAGAAAAGAATGAAAAAACTTTTAATTCTTCACATTTTTGACTACCACACCGACGAGCTGGTGTACATACCAGCTCGCCGGGAGGGATTACTCCCGGCGGCATGGCCTCTCTATGCCGAGGAGGGGGGGCAGTCCTCTTCACTCTGTTGGCACCCGGTATCCCTTGGGATACCCGGATATCCGCCAGGATTTTGGGGGGAAAAAGACATCCGCACCCGCTGGCACTGGCAGGTATCCGCCAGCGGATTGCGGATATCCGCAGCGGATTATCCGCGACCATCTCTAGATTTTACTAGCAGAAACATTGAACTTCTCAGTGGTCTCAAGAAAGAGTTGAAATTTGATAGATCTTTCAATAAAGTTCCCTGTCATTCCATTGGCTAATCTGCAAAACAGAACAATTGAATGTCAGAAATTGTAGAAATTCCTCTAGTGTTAATTTGAGTGAGTCAATACAGTGGCGCATTTACACCGTGTTTTTTTTTGCTCAAAAATGTGTTTGGCAGGTCAATTACAACAGCTGGGACACCGGATTGACATCTCAACGCCTCCCCCCCAAAAAAACAAGCAAAACTTACAAAAAAAACTTCAAATTTTAGGTCCTGACCTTTTGGAAATCCCAAAACCTTGTACAGTAAAATGCTGTGTGCCACTATAGTCCACTTAAATTGAACACTAGGGGGACAATTGATCAAAATTTCATGACCAATAACATGACTCATGGATCTTGATAACTGATTGGTACCAGTCAAGTTTTCATCCTATTCTCCTACTCTATGATCTATTGGTACCAGTTGTAGAGGGGAGTGTTTCTCCTCTCAAATAGTGTTCCTTCCAATGTCTGGGCCAGATTATGTTGAAACTCGACGCGCTCTCAGGTCCAATCAGTAAAGATACTTCAGATCAATAGCCTGCTCCATCCATAAATGTTGCCATGCAATATCAACAGACTGTGCGACCCACTTCTAACTACGCCAACCATTTCCGCATCTGACAGATATGTAAAACACCAGAACCATAGTCATCCCCATCTGAAGCCTAATCTCTCATGTATATAAGCCAGTGTCTTCTGCCTCCTTCCTTTTTCTTCCCAGGCCTTGGTCAATCTTCTTCCCTCAGCCATCTCCAACCAGCCTCATCACCAATCCTACCTCAAAACACCAACATCACTGCTTCAACAAACTAAACCAACTACACACTCAACTCAAATCAATCCTTCTGTATGTCTCATCCTATCTTCAACTTGGTGAGAATTGCTGTCAAAGCACTTCATCAAACCCTGCTCCTTCTCTTCACTCTGTTGCTGTTAACAATCAAAAACTAATCCTTTTTATTCAGTTCTGTTTCTACTATTGTCCTGTCTTCCTTATCTTTAGTTGTCCTTCATCAGTTACAATTAACTTCTTGGGTATGCGTGATCAAGTCTTATTTCTCATTCTGTAATTGTTAATACTTCTCTAATGATTTGTATTCAGTTCTGGTTTTCTATCCCTAAAAGTAATTCAGTCTAAGGTTCTTTAGATTACAGACCAGTGATTTGGGTGTGAACTAGCAAGTAGAGTCTTGGACACAAAGTTTTAAGGTGAACTTGCTAATATAATTGGTTGGCTAATGACCTACAGACTGACAAGGGCAGTTTTTATCAGTAATCTAGAAAGAGAGGTCTTTATGGTTTCTTACCTACTGATCAAAGATTTACCCCAACAGGGATGGATTGTCTTAGTTTTCCACACTATTTTTTTGCTGGCAATATATTCCTGACAGTTTTTACAGTAATCTTTACTTATTCATGCACCATTTGAAAACCATTCATCTCACCTTGAAACACCACTTATATTAGTTGTAAGAGCATCCACCTCCACTCCATCTTGACAACCCTTTAACCAAGCAATGCCTCCTACAATGGACATTTATTGAGTCCTTGAGTGCTAAAAAAATCAAATTTTGAATTTGCCTGCCTTCAAAAACAGGAATAATGACCACAAAACTGTGGTTTGCAGCAGCACCAAGATGTCCTCAGTATACCTTTCCATGGCATGCATGATGCTGTGCATCCAATTTCAATGTGGGTGATTATCCATTTTTGGGCTCTGGCATCCCCTGCTATTATTCAAGATAGAGAAGGGCTGAGGAGATCTTTGGCTCCTTGGGAGCACCACATCAAGATCCTGTGGACCAATGAGTGTGACCATGGGAAACCTTGGACCCGCCGCAGTGTCGACTTGTAAACTGTAACCACGTTGAACTGCGCGGGCGACAGCTTTTCAGTCCGCCTTGAGTTTGCGCCCTGGCGCACCAGCCCGCCGGCCTCATCTTTATGCTCAGCGCAGTGGTTGACATGCTCGGCTGACCACGGCAACCCTCAACGATCGGTCCACTCAATTACGATTTACAATGCCCCATCCGACCGCCGGAGGTCAGTCGTGTTTTTACCTAATTTTTGATCAGTCTATCACCATGTTGACTCGCATTCTCCTCGATTCATCATTCAAAAAGAGTAGTCATACCAGAACCAGTTTTTACCTATTTGGCCTTAATAATCTCGTCGTTGACGATCGGATATTGGGTCGGATTGGGAAGGTCCTTAGGTTACACTCGAGGCAATTCTAATCCGTCTCGCCGGACCGATAGCGATAGCGATGATGACCTGAAGCGGAATGAGAAACGGGGAGGGGGCTCTTCGGAGTCTGATTTAGACAGTCATGATGAAGCCGATCTAAAATCTATTCGACCAAATTGGAGCGAAGAAAGCAAACTGGTAGGTCAGCTCCCGGTCTTATTCTTGGTTGGATGACAACTTACTCACAGTCATGTCCATTCTTTTTTGCCATATGAATAGGTACTTGTGGTACGGAGTGATTTAGGGATGACCAAGGGCAAAATAGCGGCGCAGTGTTGGTAAGCAATTCCGAAATTACACATTTGCAAAGGATACCTATTTATTTACAATTGCCTCTGTGTTTACAATCCCACGTAGTCACGCGACGCTGGCTTGTTATAAGACGCTAAACAAGTCCAACCAAGCTTTACTTCGACATTGGGAAAGGAGCGGACAACCAAAGATCGCCCTGAAACTTGAAAAGAACGAGTGCGCGACGGAAGAGGATGAAATGCTACTACTGAAAGCCAAAGCAAGAAGTCTTGGACTCTGTGCTCAAGATATTTGTGATGCGTAGGTCCATCTTGTCAGCTTTTTGTTGTAGGAAGGCTCCAATTTGACATTGGTGCTTGATTTCAAAGTGGACGGACCCAAATCGCAGCCGGTAGTCGAACCGTTCTAGGAATTGGCCCTGGACCTGTGGGACTAATTAATCAAGTGAGCTCACAAACGCTGGATGAAGTTTAAACATACGACTGCTGATTCCTACGCCTGGATCTGCTACAGGTGACTCGACACTTGAAGCTCTTGTAACCAACTCTTGCCTCAAAATGCGCCGAGAGACAGCTTGCGAAATACCTTGATTAGCATCCATTTGGTTGCTTTCCGAATGAATTGCTTCATCAGACCAGATTTTTTTCTCATGACTTAACCCTTGTACACACCCTTGATTTCAAAACTCGCAGGATAACATCTTCCCTTCGATTCGCCAGATTCATATCAAGGTATCGTCCATGGAACCATTTGTAACATCTATTTGCCAATGAGTTTGACGAAACCAATTCCCATGTTCAGTGGTTGTGTTTATCCCAAAATCAGACTGATCAAATGCGAGTGAGTTGTTTAGTATTTCAACACGACATTTCACCTCTAAATGCCCATTGTTGAGGCTAGTCAGAACTCGCTACAACCTAACACATCAGATAACAAATCGAGGTAGCCCTGGCTTGTTTGCTCTGCCTTACAAATATTGCAATCTTGATAGCGCATGCTTCACGTCATAGGCTGGATAAAAAATGCCCGCCACTTTCAAGGTTGTATGCTGGGTCGAAGACACACCAATAAACCTCAATCTTTGAGCTATATGCTGAACTGCTGCAATCAAATAGCCGGTGTACCTTCCAGTGTACTTGACAATTGAGTGAGAGTAAAACAAGCTTCATTTTATGTAGATGCAAGATGGAACTATGTATCTCGACAGAAAGTTTTTCAAACTAGTAACAATAGGTTTCCAAAACCAGTGTTCAATCATTTGATTTTTTTTATGGGTATGTAATTCAAATTGCTGCGGAAAATTTAGAAAGGAAAATACAAGTAATTTCAGGTTTAGCACATCTGATAGATGGCGACTTGAGAGATAAATAGAGATAGGACAATATGAACTCTTGGTAGCACTAGCAGGGCAGGGGCTGTACCGGATGCGCTTTTGCTCAAGACATCTGCCGCGTAATCTGATAAAATGTTGATGAGCCTTTGGCACATGGAAACATGAAAATATCTAAGAGAGAGACTTACTAAAGTTGTATGTTTTAATATCATTGCTAATCGGTACCTCCCCATGTTTCTTCATCAGTTCTTTCCCCGTATTGTCGAGTAATGCTACTTCGACTCGGCCGGTGTGTCCATTCCACGGGGCAGTGAATGTGTTGACTTCTGATTTAGTGATATTAGTGAAAGTCTGCTGCATATCTCCTACTCTGATACGCAATTGGGCGGCAGTTGATGCAGCGCTAAGATAAGTGGATGCGTAGATTGCATCCACTGAAACTGAGGCGTTGGTCGGGGGTGGGAGGGTATCGGCAGCTGAGTGAAATAAGAGGCGACCATAGAAATGTTACTATCGGAAGAAGAAATTCTTTGGAACGGATCTCACTCACAAGCTATTGCGTTGACTGAATGCGGTCGGTAATTGAAGTGAACTGAATCCTCTTCAATTGTTGGTCGGGCTCCAGCTTTGTACCATTTTATGAAGTAATCTGACATCTTGAGCCATGATTGATGATCAAAACCGTCCCTGGAGGCAACAAACAAGATGTGAGCTTCTCAACCACCCGCGCTAATTATCTCGATCACTAACAACCAAGTAGTATCAGCGGGCGGGGTTCCTAGCCTGGGTCCAATGTAGTGTGATTCTCCGTAGTCATTCCATGAAATTATTTGGATGAAATCAGGAGCATTGGGCATAGAGATCAATTTCATCCACCGACTGATGTATAAATTGTCATCCTAAATCATGGAAATATAATTTTTTTCATGTGGAAACCTACCAGTATCAGCAAACCTTTTTCCTACATCGAATGGGACTTGAGCGCGCAATTCGATCAAGGCTTACCGATTTATAAATCCAGTTTTTGTCTTTGTAATGGGTGAAAAAGCATGGACTAACCCCCGCCATATAAAGCTGATAACAAATACATATGAAGTGGAAGCCGGGTTCAGAAAAAAAGCAGAGAAAGGGTTATAAACACATTTTGCATTCACGCTTACTTTCTTCGAATCCCTAGCATTTGTTTGAAACTGATAATCATCCAGGGTATTGATCTCCTCGGAACCGGTTGGCCTGTAAATCCAGAAGATCATCGTCAGCTCGATGTAATTATTGAGACATCCAAGGTCTCTTGGACGGCCTACCAAGAGTTCCAAGTCATGATTCCATCGACCACCGGATTCTCAGAGACCGCTGTACTGGGATCAAGACTGGACCAAGCCGGGATGAAAAGCGCATCGAGCGGGGGGTTTCCTTGAGCTAGTGGCGCCTTCAATGCTGCTTGCCATCCGGATGACAAATCCTCTCCCCCGAGCTTATTTGCCTCTCCAGAAAAGGTTGAAACCAAGGGTCGACCGTCGATAACTAAGAAAGAATCATGATTTATATATACTGCGTTATTATTCCAAATTATATCTGTCCTCCGATGGATCGACAATGAGTTGACTTACGCAGCTGAGCAGACAAAGGGACAAAGCTTGTCACCCAGGTAGTGACATCTTCCGCACTTTGGATAACTGACACTGCACAATTGTTTATATATTATGAGCTGAAAAATCTAACAAGGAGATTCCTCCTCTCGTTTGTTTCATTGGCCATCCTATACTTACTGTCAAGAGATAAGAATAGCTTAAATGACTTTCCGGTTGACGTCTTGATCGCGTCAGCCACTTCGTACGCGTTTTTTACCTATTAGGTGCACCAGCGTATGAGGATGAGTTGCTGAGATCTATTGACTCTTACCCCTTTTTTTTGGGAAAAAGATCAAACCTGCTGCAATTGCCATCCATCCGGTAAGCCCACATTCAACGCAAATGCGTCGATGCCATGCGAAGCAGCTAGATTGCATTGTGAGCTCCAATCTGATCGCGAATAATTCACTGTCAACCCGGTGCTTGAGGAATAAAGTATGTTTCGTTAAGTTTGAAAACTTTGCTCGTAGTCTCAGAGGAGAAGAGACGACTGACATAAAATGAGCAAACACCAGCTTAGGGGCATTATTTGTAGGGGAATTCGATGAGTCCACTCGTGCGCTAGACGCTGGTCGGGATAACAAAAGCAATTCCAAAATAACCAATGTTTTCACGACCTCTCCAAGCCTGGATAATAAGCTGAGCCTCATGCTGTACGTCGTATTTTTTTTTTTTTTATGTGAGTTTGAAAAAACTAGGAAAAGTACGAGCTGAAGGTCTGGAGGGAGGGAGGGAGAAGTCTTCTGTGATGTAGCTCGGGTTAGCAGAGGCTTGCGTCAAGATCGGGAAGCCACCACTTGAGATATTCTTGCGAAAATGACGAAATGAATTCGGGATAGATTAAATATTCGAGGATAACAAAATATTTATCCTGCCAGAGAATGGTGGATAGTTTAATCGTTCATTGAAAACATCTCGAGAAGTTGACCATGTCTTGATTGAATATTGTGTTTGGGGTGAATTCCTCCGCCAATCACTGGGGAGAAAACCCCTCTTACCACACGCGTGAAAGATATAGTCTTTATACGGGCGGAGAGAGATATTTTCATAAATCTCCGACGTCGTATTCCTGAGAGTCGATGATGGATACGATCTTCGAATCGTGAAAAGGGGATGGACGTATTGCTTCCTTCAAACATGCTCTATCCATCTCCCCAGAAAGCCCCACCAAACCTTTCGTTGTTTTTTCGGCTCTAACTTGCTCCATGGGCGTTTTCTGAACTGTTTACCTCGAAAAAATCGACATTACCCCGCGTTCATTTCTCAGCCTCAAGAGTTCAGCTTTTATCTAATTCACAAGCAGTTGGGCTATTTGGTAGTATCGGACAGTCTTCATAGAAGCAAGGCAGCATTCACGATGTACTCGTCGCGAATCCGGAAGGCAAGATGACTGCATTCAAGTGATGAAAGGGCCTACATAGAATAGAGGGATGGCAAGAATTGAAAAATTCGATGGGCCCATTCTTCGAGTACCGGTCATCCTCGTCTACTCATCGAATATGGATGATGATTTCTGAAACTGTGATCTACTACCATGATGTTTGGTATATGAAACCAGCGAGCAGCCATTCCCTCCCGGTCGATGAGGTCTTTGCAGCTCATCGACCGGAGGGGGTTCCTTCCGGTCAGTGAGGTGCATGACCGGAAGGGACTCCTTCCGGTCAATGATTTGCATGACCGGAAGGGATTCCTTCCGGTCAGGGAATCCCCGGTCAGGATGGAACGACTCCCAAATACCCCATGCATGACTAGGGGTGGTTTGGGGAGCCGACTCCCAAGAAATAAGTAACAAAAAACAAAATGAAAATGGGGGGACGACTCCCAATGGAACGGTCCTTGGGAGTCGTCGACTAACTCTTGGGAGTCGTTTGTCCTGCAAGCCCCCCCCCCCCAAGAAAAAGAAAAAGTGTCGGAATGGTTCCGGGTGTAAAAACGTTGAAATAATGTTTTGCAAAACCTTTTTGAGTACATATTTAAATAGTTCTGAGCAGCAATCTTGAACCAAACTGATGATCATCACATTGAAAAGCACATCATACAAAGAGCCATGGCTTGCCGATCGGAGATATCGAGGACTCTGCAGAGAGGTTGATCAGAGTGTGGACATAAACAAGGATTTAAATACCTCCGTGTCCTGGACTTGATAAAACCCCCCACTGCTCCAGCAAATCGCGTTATTTGATTTGATTCACTCATCATGCAATCCTGGGACGACTTCTTCGAGTCACCGACACCCAGCCCTACCGAGTCTCACAACACACCCGTAAGAGAGCGCCCTCCTCATCCAGGGCACCACCATCCCGGGAACAAACCAGGCCACTGGGGCAATGCTCCGGAGGATAGGAACCCCCAAATTTTACCACGTAAGTCATGTCTTCATATTGAATGTTCGCGACTTAACCTAATGTATTTGATGCTGACTGCTGCAGGTGCCTCATCCAGTTACCAACGCGAATATGAGTCATGTCGGTGTTTCCACCGGCAGGGGTGCTGGCCCGGCACGGGGCAGAGCCACCCCACTGAGCCATTTCTCGCCTTATCAACGATCCTCGCCCGCGCAGCCGATCCCGCAAGCTGACTCGCCCGAGATGGATGGAACGGCCAATCGCGGGGAGCCGAATCAATCGACTGATCCTATCGGCAGGAACCGACGACTCAGGGGTCTCCAAAGACAGCTCGGAATCAGCAACGAGGTCTATGCTCAAGCCGAGCATTTGTTTGATGTAAGTAATCAAGCCCGGTCATGGGCCAAGATTTTCTTGTTACCGATCTGGCTTCGCTTGCCTATAGATCCCCCTCGCCGATCGCTGGCCAGCTATGGTGCTCCTCTTATTGCATTCGAGTCAGCCGGGCTCGATTTTTCCCGAGCCGACTTCGGTTTCTCCCGAGCCATCTGATCACTCGCATCTGCAGCTTCGAGACCAATACAGTCCTCAACTCAGAGCCTTCATACGCAATCAGCTCGGCCAGATCTTGTTGCGCGCTGATCTCGAGTCTTACGGACGCGCAGGAGCTCGGATGAGCCGGTTCATAAGCAAGGCACCTGCACTGATCATGAAGGTTTGTCCAAGTTGTCTTCTTTTCCGATAAACATAATGGTGACGTTAAAATTGTGCATACCAATATTTGTAGAAATTCATCGATGACCAGCCGGAATCCGTGCGCGTAAACTACTTGCCTAGCGATTTTGAGACCAGCTCCGCGGCGACGGCCGAGCTGATGAAGCTCATCCGGGAGCTCCTGAAGGACGAGAAGAACGCGTTTGCCGACGCCATCCTTCTGGGCACGCAGGCGGTCTCCGCGGGGCACCACCGGCCGATGCCGACTCTGGACCAGTTGGTCATCCACGTCTTTCGAGAGATGGACTTGACGATGAGTCAGCTGTCGGATGCGCAGATCAACAGCCACCCCAAGATGACCCACAAAGTCAAGGTTCGAATCGCTTATCTCAGATTCCTACTGAACGTCCATCGTCGCCAGCTTAGAAACCCCGCGGGCTTCTGGGAGCTCATCGACAAGGATCTCGAGGAAAGACGCAGGAAATCGCCGGCTTACAAGGCCGCGTTTGTCCACCTGATCCTCCAGAAGGATCGCAAGCTCTGGAATGGCTCTCACATGATCTCCGACGTCCCTGCTGAAGCCCAGGGCTTGCCTACCGAGCCAGAGATCATCGCCCATCTCGAAAGCATTCAGCAAATATCCGGTCACTATCTCAACCGACCCCGCTCCTCATAACAAATCTTTGCAATCAATCGAAACAAACACTGATTTAACATTTTCCACCATAAACCATCTATAATGCATACCGTCATTATTTTTTTTACACCTGCTTTGTGAATGACTGAAGGCCCAAAAGATTGCTCAAGTACATCTCAAGTGAAGTACACACTCATCCAGAGTTTTTAAATAAAAAACAAAGCATCCCAACTTAGCCCCTGGCCTCTCCATGTAGAGGAGCTATTTTACTCCCATGTTATACTTTGTTTCCGGCTTCTTTCTGAAAAAAAAAATGAAATTTTACAGTAGAGGTGAGACGAGACCAAAAAAAAAAAACAAAAAAAAAAAAACGACAACTGAAGCCGAAGAATCGAAGGATTCCTATTTGAATGAGATGGGATAATTCCCTAAAAGGAGAACCGTCGATGGATCGTCCAATTTCGTTCACATGTACTAGATCCAATCATTTCATCAAAGTCAACATATATGAGTGAGCTATGCAGGCCCCATTTCTCAACAAGTCGGTGGATGATGGATCCTGGCGGCCCCATATGGCCAAACACATCAACCCATCAATCCATGATTTTCATCCCATGGGATCTGGATCCATCGCCGTCAAATCCACCATCACCAAACACCCAATCTATCCTCCCACAAATCGTTTATTTCTCTCTCTCTCTCTCTCTTGATTATTATTCTTATTATTATTATTTTTTTGTAAGATCGCTCATGTCCTAATTATTCCACTCGAACAGTTCCTGACCCGAAAATCTTGCTTGAAATGTGAGCCCGGAAACAAACGTATCTTGCCAAGACTATAATTCCTGTAGCACTGTTTTGATAATAAAAAAAGGGTCTTAGTCAAACGACTCCCAAATATTGGAGTTCCGACTCCCAAATATTTGGGACGTCGCTAAATCCCTCTCGGCCGGTGAGAGTATACACTCTCAGCGGCCGGGAGGAATCCCTCTCGGCTGGTGAGAGTATACACTCTCAACGGCGGAGAGGGATTCCTCTCCGCCGCTGAGAGTCAAGTCCGGCGCCGACTCCCAACCTCCCTGGGGGTTTTTGAAGATCAACTCCCAAAAACCCCCGGGGTTTTTCATTTTTTTATCTTTTTATTTTATTGTTTCTTGGGAGGATTGACTCCCAAACCTGTTGAAGGTTTGGGAGGTCCGACTCCCATCTCCGGGGGTGGACGGCCTGCGGACCGTCCGCAGGGGGTCTTAGCGACGTCCCAAATATTTGGGAGTCGGAACTCCAATATTTGGGAGTCGTTTGACTAAGACCCTAAAAAAAACACATGCTGTTGCCGAGGTCTGTTCAGATTTACAATAGGACGGTTCACGTCTGAACTTTGAGGCAAATTTAATGACATTTATCATTAAAATTTTGCAAATTTACCAAAAATCTCAAATTCCTCCAAACTTGATGCTTCATGAAATTTTACAAAATTCATAAAATTTTATCTTCAAGTGTGTTAAAAGTTGCCTTGAACTTCAGACGTGAACCGGCCTAATAGGCCGGTTCACGTCTGGAGTTTAAGGCCACTTTTAACGCACTTGAAGATAAAATTTTATGAATGTTGTAAAATTTCATGAAACATCAAGTTCAGAGGAATTTGAGATTTCTGTTAAATTTGTAAAATTTTAATGATAAATGTCATTAAATTGGCCTCAAAGTTCAGGCGTGAACCGTCCTACAGTGCCCCGCACTACTTCTCGACTACCCCTCCCAGGGGTGTTCCAAATTTCCGAAGATTTTTTTTCAATTTTTTTTTTTCAAGTCAGCCTTTTTTTCCAGTGTTTTGTGTTTTATTTCCAGTTCTTTTCCGTATTTTTTGCACTTTTTTTTTAGCACGACTGAAACTTCATCCCATGTTTCGCTTTTTAATTGATTTACAATAACAATCTGTACATGCTATGTATTTATATATCTATTCTTTGAAATTATAAGCCCCTGCCTGCTGGTTGCCGACAAGTAAAAACAAAGTAAAACAGTCGGAAGCACCCATCATCCAAGATGCCGCTCATCTCCAAAGCAGCTCGTTCACAACGGGTCCGTTGAGCGGCTGAATCCGAGAAAGAGAAGTGTATTCAAAGCAACAAAAACCAGAAAGAAAAACAAAAACAAACACAGAAGCAAAAAAAACTAGAGAAGCAAACTGAAAAACGGAGTGCCATGCAAAAACGAATTCAGCCAATCGAGATTACTGAAGGCAACGAACCGATATTTGTCAGCGATGATACCGTTCCTGCTGAGATATTTGAAATCTACGACCGCGATGTTGAATTGATTGATGAATCCCATCAGATCATGGCTTGGTGTGATGATCCGGACGAATCTGCGAGTGACAATGAAGATTCTCCTGATGTTGTGAAGTTTTTGTGGCCGATATCGTTCTCGAAGGACTCTGAACGTCCAAAGCGAAATCTGAAGTCGGGAAGCTCAGGATATCTCATACCGATTGCCAATCCAAACCTCGATTCTAAGAAACTGATACCTAGGAAGCTTCCACGAACTACCAAGCACCATTATAAAGCAAAAGGAATCAAACCTGTGGGAGAGAACAACAACATTATGACAAACTTCCTTAAAAAAGGAAAAGAACAGATTAGCTCTGGCGTTGAGGAGGACTTGATTGATCCAGATGAAGCCATCTTGCAAAACGAGACTCCCAGCGGTTCAAACAACGACAAAGAGTATGATCACCGGTTCAATTCTATGGTGGAGACGTATCTTGCGAATCCCTCTCGACAGTCATATGACGAGCGTGTTTTGTTCAAGAAGGAGTTTGACGAGCTGAATCGTGTGATTGCTTACATGAAAAAGGAATACCAACAACGTGCTAAAAACGACAAACGATTCAAATACCCCGGGCTCGAACTAGACGAACTCCAAGAGTTTAACAATTTGCGGAATGAAAATCGCTTGGCTGGAGTTGCAAAACCTGCAATTGCTGCTTCGATAACGGCTGCTTCTTCTTCTAACTGCCGCCTCCAAACTGGAAAAAAGAAGTTTACTACTAGTGTTAGTCGAGCAAAGCGTCTGCGTTATCAAGCAGATTATGTCTTGAGCTCCAAGAAGCTATTCACCAAAAATCAAGGGAAAGGTGGTGCTAAAAAAACTATCCTTAATGACCCGGTGATCTTTTCAGCACTTCGTAGTTGGGCAGCTGAGCAAAAACCAGGACATGTAAGCAATAACTTTCATAACAGATTAGACATTTCATTTGCTTATGTACAACTACCCACTATTTTCAGGTTACCCCGCGCTCAGAGCTCACGCATCAATTTTTCTCTCTTATCTTGATGATGGAAATGGGTACCGAGTGTGGGATCTTCAGACTAAGAAAGCAATCAAGACTCGGGATACTATTTTCAACAATGAGATTTTCCCCTACGACCATCAAATCACTGGACCAACTCCAACCATTTATGTTGATCTACCCTGGCCGTTGACCACAGTGCCTGCTAAATTACCACCAGCCACTGCCTCTCCACCTATCCCAGCTGCCCCTCGGCCAACACTACCTCTGCCTCTCCCTCCTCGGAAATGCATTGACCTACCTCAAACTTTCAAGCAACTTCGTGATCCAACACCATCTATACCCATCTCTCCCATCACCAGTGATTCCGACGATGGTAGTAAGTCTTCCGGACTACCTTCGCCTATTCCTCTGCCTTCTCCGTTCCTGCGTCCCCCTATTTCATCCCTCATGAACAATCCCCTCCCTCCCCTCACTCTGCCTGACTCTATTGTCCCCATTCCTACACGGTCTGATGACACCCCTGATCGGGCTGTTGTTTCCCTCGACCCACCCTCTGACACCTCAAATCCTCAAACAGTCCTCCCTCCTGCGGACATACCCCTTCCCCCCTCTCGTCCTTCTTCTCCGCCTGTCAGGACGTCTGGACGAGCACGCAAAGCTCCCGAACGCTATGGAAACTGGGCAAAATCTTCCTCCACTCCTCCCGGTGATGTTGACACTCCAAAGACGTGGCGCCAGCTTCAAAACTCCCCTCACAAGGCCAAATGGCTTCAGGCAGCTGATGAAGAATTCTCCTCTCTCCTTGGTATGGACACGTGGCGTTTGGTCCCACGGCCGGCTAAGCGAAAGATTATCAAGTCAAAATGGGTTTTCAAGGTCAAACGCCGCCCCGACAAGTCCATTCTCAAATTAAAGGCTCGGTTAGTTGCGATGGGGTACTCTCAAGTTCGTGGAGTAGATTATCAAGAAGTGTTTGCGCCTACTCTCCGTCTCGAAACACTCAGACTAATCTGCAGTCTTCTAGCATCCAAGTCGTGGAAAGGACGCCAGGTTGACTTCAAGACTGCTTTCCTAAATGGACACCTCAATCAACCCATCTTCATGGAGCAACCCCCCGGTTTTGAAGACCCTACCCATCCAGACTTTGTCTGTGAGGTTCACCGCTCTTTATACGGTCTGAAACAGGCTCCGCGGCAATGGAATCAAGAACTTCATCAAGCACTTCTGGATTCCGGTCTTACTCAGTCTAAATATGACCCAACTCTCTATTTTAAGGTCCAAAATTCAAAGCTCTTGGGGGCAATAACGGTCCATGTTGACGATCTTGCCGTTGTGGGTGAAGATTGCTTTGTTGACTCCATCATATCAAGTCTCGGTGCAAAATTCAAAATTGGTGCAGATGAGGATCTTCACCATTTCCTTTCAATTAAGATTACCCGCGATCACGACAACAAACTCCTCTATATGTCTCAAAGCCACTACATCGACGATATGGTCTCTCGGTTCCTCAATGGCACTCACACGGCTACTAAGACACCAACCTCCTCTCTTTTCAAGGATCTAGTCAAACGATCCGCCAGTGAAGACTCCTCTCCCGGTCCGTACGGCCAACTCATTGGGTCTCTCCTATGGATCGCCCAATGTACACGTCCGGATGTCTCTTTTGCTGTAAACAAGCTTTCCCAGTTTCTCCGTGATCCATCTTCCTCCCACTGGTTGGCGGCAGTGAGAATCCTCAACTACCTGGCCTCGACCAAATCACTTCGTCTGCGTCTAGGTGGTTCTCTTACTTGTGCAGGCTACTCCGATGCCGATTGGGCCGAGGACCGCCAAGATCGCAGGTCCACTTCCGCCTATACCTACAGAATTGGTGACGGGGCTATCTCCTGGAAGTCCCGCAAACAGGCCACTGTCTCGCTATCCAGCACTGAAGCAGAGTACAAAGCATTGGCAGATTCCTGCAAAGAGGGTCTCTGGTTACGAAATATACTCACTGAATTATCAATTCGACCTAAATCAGCTCTTCCACTCCATGTCGACAATGAAGGAGCAGAAGCATTAGCCAACAACCCAGAACACCATGCCAGGACTAAACACATTGATGCTAGATACCATTTCGTTCGTGAATGTGTCAGAGACGACATTTTCGAAATAGTACACGTATCCACACACGACATGCTTGCAGATATGTTGACGAAACCCCTTCCTCGGATTATGCTGGAGAAACACCGACTCATGTTTGGGCTTGTGTAACTCCAGTCTGCTTTTCTTTGTTTCTCTGAACTCCATTTCTTCTTTCTATTTCTTTGTTATTGAACTCAGTCATCAGCAAGGGGGGGTGTTGAGATGTCCTGTGGCATGTCACTCATTAGTGCATGTCCACCTTCCTTAGTGTGCTTTCTTCCTGTTTCTCATTTCTCATTTCTTACATGTCACACTCTGTGACATGGCCATGTTTCTTCTCAGCTCTTATACTGGATTCACTTGTGCTTGGAAGGACTCTTTTCTCCTCATCCTTCCAACACATTTGTCTCCAGGTATGTTTTTCTCTTTCTCTTTCATTTCATCTTCCTCTTCTCTATGTTGAAATGAACCCTTATCCTTCCAACACATTTGTCTCCAGAGGGTCCATCTCAACATGACGCCCATTTACGCTTAAACTGCTTGATTCTACTCGCATCGCTCATCTCGGCCCCTCTCGCAAACTCGTTTCCTCTTCGATTTTTTTTTCTTTTTCGTTCGAAATCTTAAACGAGACCCTGCCACTCTGACACTTGACGGATCATCGCTATGTCCGACTCCGTAGCCCAAACCACCACCGACTCCGATGCCCTTAACCTTAAGGTTTCAGGCATCGTCCAACTCAAACCCCAAGGAACGGACTCCAACTACCTAGATTGGAGTTTCGTCGTTCTTCTTCACCTTCAATCCCTCAAACTGGCCTATGTCCTCAAACCCGAGGACGCTACCACCATCGAGCCGAAGACTACCACCGCCGCGGCGAAGTCGCGCCCCTCCTCCTGGGCGAACGATAGCATCGCCGTGTCCTCCTTTATCGCTAGGACCATCCACCCCAGCAACCTTCGTTTCGTTCGCGCTCACGGCACGAATGCCGCGGCAATGTGGGTATCGCTGTCGCAAGCTCACCAGGATTTTTCTTCGGGAGGGCGCATGCACTGGCTGCGTCAACTCGTCGTCGCTCGTCTCTCCGGCGACGATATTGAATCCCACATCGAGGCGATGGCTATCTGCGCGGAGCGTCTTGGCTCCTTGGTCACCCCTGAGAAACCGCTCACTGTCGATGACATCCATGCCACCGCACTCCTCACCTCCCTGACAGACGACTGGTTACCCTGCGTCTCGGCCTTGATGAACGAGGACGCGGTCACCTCCTCACGCATCGTATCCGCCCTCAAGGCGGAGTCCCTTCGTCGCAAGGCTCGTTGCGATGACGAGTCTTCTGTCTCCGTCTCCAAGGCCAGAGCCGAGCCGGACAAGGGTCGCCTCCGATACAACAAGGCGTTGCATTGCACATTCTGCAACCGAAGCGGTCACGACCTGACCGTTTGCCAGAACGCCGCCCGGATCTTATCCGACCACAAGTCCTCTCGCTCGTCTGCCCCGGATTCCTCGCGTCGGAATGACGGCTCGCGATTCAAAGGCCGTTCCAACGCGTCGGACAGATCGTCCGCTCCACGTCAAGCCCCTCCTCCTAAGTCCTCCGCAACCGCCCGGCCACACTACTGTGGTCGAGCTTGGATATGACTCCTATGAGGATGATTCCGACTTCTCCATTCCCGAGCGCGCTGGAAATGCGGTCGTCGGGCTCACCTCCTTTCCATCCTCAGTGTCTACCAACACTGTTGATGCCAATATCGATTCTGGGTGCTCTGTCTCCATGACCCCCCATATCTCCACCGTACATCGTTGTAAGCCAGATTCGACCGTTGTTCGTCTCGCTGACAGCTCTGAAGTACTTGCCACCCATCGCGGATCCCAGTCCCTTCCACTTTCGGTCGATAAAAGCGTCCCGACTCTCGTTGTTCCAGGCCTTCATGAGCCCCTGCTCTCCGTGGCAGGGCTCTGTGACAAAAATCTTATCGTTGTCTTCTCCGCGGAAGCTTGTGAATTCTACGAGGCCGGCTCCTTCTCGTCGAGTGGTCCCATTGTTGGACGTGGATACAGAAAGGGTAATCTTTTCTACCTCCCCTCCAACGAGGTAAGGTCCTCATCCGCCGTCTCAACCCCCTCCCCCTCTCATGGCAACTCACTCCTGGATTTTCACATTCGACTTTCACATATAGGTCTGAAACCCTTGAAACGTCTCCTACGCCAGGCTGGCATCGTTCCAACTCTGGCCAACGACATTGAGGTAACTCAATGCCCCATTTGCGTGCAGTCCAAAATGCATCGCCTTTCCTTCACCTCTCGTCTCTCCTATCGCTCTCAAACTCCCGGTCATCATATCCACTTGCACTGAATGTTGTGCTGCCAAAGCATGATCAAAAAGGAATCAGCCTTGATACCGCAACTCGCTGGATGTACAAGCTAGGATTTCGGGCTCAACGGCACCGGAAATCAGTCTACTATGATGGACATGAGCGAGAGGACGTAGTTGCTTCTAGATTGAAGTTCTTGGGTGATGTTGCTCGGTTGCGTGCGTATTCAAAAAAGTACGATGGAGATAATTGCGACATACCTCTCTTGGTTGACCCCGAAATCCTGGGTGATAACAAGGAGACAGTATTCATTTATCACGACGAGTCTACAATACACGCAAAGGAAAGACCAACTCTTTCATGGCTCCTGCCTGGAACAACTGAGCTCCGATCAAAAAGCCTTGGCCGATTGATTCACATATCCGACTTTATCTTGGAGTCGACTGGTCGATTAGTCCTATCACCAGAGCAGCAAAAATTGCATGACCTTGAATTCTCAGATGCTGCTACGGTAATCTACCCTGGCTCACAGGGTGATGCATGGTGGGATATGGATCAGCTCTGTAAACAGGTATCACAAAAGGCGATACCCATCTTTGAGGCTGCACATCCTGACTGCCAGGGTGTTTTCATTTTTGACTGCTCTTTGGCTCACGAAGCATTTGGACCTCATGCCCTCCGTGCCCAGAAGATGAACCTCGGACCTGGCGGAAAGCAATCACGATTACGCGATACCATCATTCCTAGCGACAACCCTCACATTCCAGAAGAGTTGAGAGGCCAACCACAAACGATGTGCTATCCAACCGATCATCCGGACCCATCTTTAGCTGGTCAACCAAAGGGAATCAAGCAGGTCCTTACTGAACGCGGACTCTGGCAACACTACTGCAGTTCTCGGATCCAAGCACGCTTGCCTCCACTGGTTCTCAAGTGCAAGACATGTTTGGAAAGTGGTGCGGTCAAGGAAGCTGAAGCAAGGGCAAGCCAACTGGTGAAGCAAGCTGAGGCTCAAGGATACTTCATTGACCAAGAAGCTTGCTTCACCAAGGAACTCGGAACTACTGCACCAGCAAATCTGCCACAATCAAAGCTCAAAGACTGCTGCTGGTCTCAGATAATGACTTCTCAATCAGATTTCCTGGCCGAGAGGTCATTACTTCAAACTATGATTGAAGATGCCGGTCACATCTGCCTGTTCCTCCCGAAGTTTCACTGCGAGTTAAATCCAATTGAGCTCCTTTGGGCATATGTCAAAGCAGGTGAGCTTCTGATTCTTGATTTATCCCTTTTGATGTTTTTTTTATCTGATTATTTTCTCTCTCTTTGACATCTAGATTATCGGAGGCAGAGTCACCAGTGTTCTACTTGGAAACACTACCAAGCACTCTTTGAACACTCTCGCCGTTCATGCCCTTTGTCAACCATCCGGAAGTTTTTCAGAAAAATTGATCGGCAACACTCAGCATATGCCCTGGGTCTTGATGGACCTGCTGCACAGCGAGCGATGAAGAAGTATTCATCACATCGCCGCATTCCTAAGAGTGCAATGATGGATTTATCGATTGTAGGGGCATAGTGATTTGTTTGTATATACATAATCATGTGATATTCAGTGGTTTACATACATGATGCACATCTTAAATGCATATTACATACCCCACAAGTACATAATACATACCTATAACCATATAATATGGTGCTGGAGCTGGCCGTTCCAAATTCTGAGGTTGAAAAATTGAAAACTTTTTTTTGGTGCGTTGCAGAGACTTGTGCATGATATTTTTGAGTTCTACTACTTCAGTAGAGCTCAAAAATGTGTAGTATGCATTTGTAGCATGGGTGTTGCACATGAAGAAGGCCTTCAAAGTTGAACTTTTATTTTGCTGGTGCGGGGTAGTTGAGAAGTCGTGCGGGGCACTGTAATAGTGGTTTGCTCCGAGCTTGTTGGCACATGCATGACAATACATGGACGGCAGAGAGACGCCAGACCCCCAATGGTCCATCTCAAAAGCGCATAGGAAAAAGGGGGGGGGGGCAAGACAGAGATCCTGGCGAGACAAGAATGATAAATTAAGCATTACGATGAGATGGCGTTGAATGACGATGATACACATAGATTATTACTCTCTCTCTCTCTCTGTGCAAAGCGAGAGAAAGAGAGAATGGCGTACAATTAGAGAATTACAAGGTCTGTCCAAAGATTTGCAGCAACAGGAGGTCTCCACAATGAGTCTGACAATACATGGACGGTAGAGACGCCAGACCCCCAATGGTCCATGTCAAAAGCACATAGGAAAAAGGGGGGGGGGGCAAGAACAGAGTTCCTAGAGACAAGAATGATAAATTAAGCATGACGATGAGATGGTGTTGAATGATGATGATACACATAGATTATTACTCTCTCTCTCTGTGTGTGCAAAGCGAGAGAAAGAGAGAATGGCATACAACTAGAGAATTACAAGGTCTGTTGATAGATATGCAGGCAGCAGGAGTAAATGGATGTCTCCACAATGAGTCATGAAAGAGAGAGAGAGAATTAGAAGGAGAGTTTGGGGTATATTAATTTTGGATGGGAATGTGAGAAATGAATGGTCATCGATGAGAATTAAGTTTTGGAAGAGGAGGAAGAGCGAGGGGGGAGATGATTCGGGGAGGATTTAGCGTTGGTAGCGGCACGCTTGAGTTTGTTTTGAGATTTGAGGTATTTGTGGAAGTCCAAACGGATCTCCTTAGCGGCGGAGAGCTTGATGCGGATGGGCTGGTCGACAACGAATGGACGCCTTGGATGATTATTGTTCGGCTGAGCAAAGAGGTTGAGGAGGTTGTTCCAATACTCCAGTTGGATCTGGTTGATCACCAGGAAGCTCGGTGCTTCGCCGGCCTTGAGGAACGTGTGCGCGCTCAGAGTCGGACGGGAATAGGCGCGCTTGGTCGGGCGTGGGGCCTTTAATGGCGTGACTTGATCGTCCTGCTCTTCTGATCTGCTCTGGGTAGCTGCTCCCTTCGATTTGGGAACTACTGATGGGCTGCAGCCTCGGGAATAGAGGTCGACTACAAGGTTCATGAATCTCGCCCGAGAGAAATCAAAAACAAACGTGCCCAGCACGTCGGTGATCTAGTTGGGAGCAAAAAAAGAGTCAGGACTAGGTATTGGAACAGCCGAGGGAAAATCGGCTTACATGTCGTTCAACCACTCTCCAGATGTCATCGGCTTCGGGCTTGTTCATCACGGATGAGTCCACCGATGAATCAGACTCGAGCCAATATCTCCAAAGGTTGACCTTCTGGGGGTCGGACTGAGAGAGAGAGAGAGAGAGAGATAGAAGGAGGACGGTTGAGCTTGAGGTTCTGGATCTGCATATGAGATTGAGAATCAAACTCACCAAACCCGCGACGGTCTTAGCCACACGCTGACAATTGATGGTGGCCAACAGGTCCTTCAAACACTCAAGGATCTCCTCTTGTTTGTCGAGTTCAATCGAGCCCCCGGCGTGGGAAGTCAAGTATCGCCCGATCTCGCTGGCCACGGTCTGGCTCGAAAACAGCGGGTTTTGGGCCGCCAGGCCGCTGTCGTCCCAATGCACTTCCAGAGTTGGGAAGCCCGGAAGGTCCATCGTCAGTGAATGGCCCCCCTCTAGGGTCAACGAGTTAAACAGGATCGACTGATGTGCTCCGTGCTTCTTTAGTAGAACTACAGTCTGAAATGCAAAAAATGAAGACTCAGTCGTGTTGATCCAAAAAAAGGACGCATGTCAAAAAGTAGAACTTACTCTTTGGGGTTGCTGGTCTGATGAAACTTCACCAGGAGGTGAAACACGAGCACTGTGGAAGTCAGCCGGGGCGGGATTGACGAGGTTGGAAGTATCCAGTTTTCCTCGAACACGGACCCATCTACGCCGGCGGATAAACGTCCGACAGCCGTGTCTGTGGGCGGACCATTTACGACTGAAGATATCATAGTATTCCCAGCCGTTTGAGTCCACCGGCTTCGACTGCAGGTCGATCGAGAACTCTGTTAACCAATACCACTCCGGTGTAGGCAGAGGAAAGGTGTCGGTGGAATGTGGGGTTTGTCTGGAAAAAGAAAAGAAAAGCAAACAGTTTAGAGAATGACCTGATTGATCACCCATTCTAAGGTACATGAATCAAAACTCACACTACTGCTACGCGACTGACGTCAGGCAGGCCGGGTAGAGAGCGGGCCGACCGGGACGATCGTACTGTCTGATGGTTTTGACGGTCTGCCAAGGTCGGATGAGGGGAAGCGTTCGTTGAAGTTTTCCTGGCCCAAGAAGCTGAGACCACCCTGTTGTTCGATGAGGACATCAGTGGCCAGGATGACTTGACTAGGCCCGGGCTTCTCGATGAAGTAGAGAGGATCGATGATCGCGTTGGGACCAAACTGGAACTCGGAAGGCTCCCTGGCGACGGCTGGAAACCCGGGGAATAAGAAGGCTTGATGAGAGAGCGACTCGGTCTCTGATCTCCTTCTGCGCGTGTCCGAAGAGTCGCGCGGTGGGAGCTCGAGGGAGAGTCTGTGCGATGGACGATTGAGGGGTGGTGATGGGTCAGAGGGCTTGGCCATAAGACTTGACGAAAACACCCAGCGATCGATTTTTCCAGTCGTGTCATCGGCCAGGAACTCCATGGCAGAGTTTTGCCATTGGGGTACCACCGACGAGTTGACCGGCCAGTTCCTGGGCGATATAGGACCGCTGGATTCGGTATCACCGTTGAGGGGGATATGGTTCGCAAAGCCTTCGGGTAAGGAGGGTTTCTTCTGAATCGATGGGCCTGGTTCGCAGAGCCCTTCGGTAACAATTGAGAGCTGAGAAGGGCGTGGGGTGGAAGAGGCGGTGGTAAAATGATCCCGGTCAACGATAATGTGAGGGGGGGTCTGATGCTCGTGAGACTCGTCATTTTCTGTAATTGAAGCAGGTAAGATTAATGACTTGGTTTTTCCTGTATCAATTGGACGGAATATCTTCTGACCCTTGCCTGGAAACCGATTAGTGGAATTTGGCGATACTTGTTGGGATCCGAATCGTGCCTGACTCAAGTCGGTATCAGGCGTTCCGATGGAGATGGTGAAGTTAGTTAGACTGGGTGGGATTGATGAGGGTGCGCTGGCTTGTTCTGATTGGAGCGGGGGTAGAGGAGGGTCTTGGGAGGGCTTTTGAGGAAGGGCTCGAGGATTGAGATCGGTGGGGGATGAGTGAGAGGTCTTGAGTTTGATGGATTTGATTTTTCTTTGGATGGATCCCACTCCTTTCTCGACAATAGCCCTTGATTTGTGGGGGATAATGCTTGCTCGACGATGTGGTTTGGAGGAGTTTGTGATTTGAGAGAGGGTATCCAACTCCTCCTCCTCTCGGAACCAATCGTCGGGTTTTGGGGATGGTAATTCAGGGTACCTGTGGGATAGATCTTGCTTGATGAGTTGGATCTGGTCCCTGATCGCGTTAAGCTGCTGGATTCCTATGTGTTTGGGTCGGAAGCAGGTGGATGGGACTAATTTGGAGATCGAGTTGAGGTTGTTGTTGGTATTGGAGGCTGAGCCTGCATCCAGGGAGGCGGGGGTATGAGCTTCTTCTTCTCTTCGAGCATTCTCCTGTTGTTTATGCCAAAACAGTCTCTCGCGGGTGATTTTCTTGATTTCAACTTGCTCGTCCTTCAGATCCTGGGGTTTACTCTTGAGGATCTTGCGTGAGATTCGGACCATTCGCGGTGAGCGGTGGAGTTTCTCGGGGCTTTTTGAAGGGTTTTGCTTGCCGCGCTTGGGATTGCCTGGATCGGCCAGGCTCTCGAGTCGTGCTCGGAGACTGTCGGTTGACGGTTTGCGCTTGAGTAGATATCGGGAGAGGGAGTCATCCTGACAATGAGTGGAGTAGAAAGATGTATCGAAATCTGCCATGATTCCGTCGTAATAACTCCCAAGGAGAGTCGAAATCTTATGGGTAAATTGATTAGTCTGCAGCTGGATGGATGGGAATAGGATGATTGGGATAATGAGAGGGCAGATTTTCGCTTCTACACAACAAAGGGCGCCAGTTTAAGTAGTATTTGTTTGTGTATCGACAAGGCGCAGATGGTGGGATGGCTCGCCGACCAGTCCAGCTGTCCCACTCCAGGGCCCAAGAGAGCGAGCAGGCACCCAAAACGAAAGAAAACAACCAGACTGTGCACTTACAGCTTTCGAGGCTAGTGGGGACCAGCCATCATGATATTGATATCCATCCCAGTCCAGGGCGAGTCGTCAAAGTGCAGCTGATTTGGGTCGATGGCCAGCCGGGGTGAGGGAGGGCAGCCGACAGGCGATGAACTAAAACTCACTGAGGCTCCCTCTCTCTTGGAGCTGAAGCCACACCCTCGCACCACCAGGCCAGGCACTCATTTTAGTACACCACTGATTGTCTGCCTCAGTTCCAAGCACACTGATCACACTTGAACTAGAACCCAGTGATCTTACAACAGTCTGATGTTTCGGAGCCTAAAGAGCACCTCCGGCCTTCCGAGGCTCCGTCAGTACAGTCGGCCCGCGACCGGCATCCACCTTTCAAACGGAGGCGGCTGAAACACCCCTCTTGTGGAGTACATATCCCGGAACGCCGGGGCTCACCCAAGTGGTTGTTGGAAACTCCGAGCAGAGAACAAAAGCAATCAGACAGCCTCACGAAGAATATCGACCCAGTAAGGTATCCTTTCCATCTTCTACACCATCCACAGTCTCCCGCTCCCAGCTAAAATCTCCAACGATTTAGATGCATTCCTATCAGCACTCACCCGTCAAATCACAACAGCATCCTATAATCCAAGCCAACATGGACGAATACAAACGTTTCGCGACTCTCCACGGTTATGAAGGAAATCAACAAACCGAACATTTCGAGGTAGTTTTGAAGGCCGTTGGGGGTAAGTCAATCGATTTGATCATTACACATGATTTAACAAGCACGGCCACCTCATATTCTTTGGCACATCTGACCACTTCCATACATAGTCGAAAGACTGCGAACCTATCATGACGACCTGGAAGAGATGATCCTGATCAAACTGAAGCCGGCCGATACAAAGCATGAAGATGTCATATCGCGATGGGCAAAATTCTTCCATGGCTACAAACGCTCCTTTGCCAAGCTCAAGAAGATTCTCAATCTCACCGATGCAGATCATGAGAATCAAATCAAGCAACTTGTTGAGCTCGCTCACTTCATTCGATTCCCCACCGAGAAAGAACCCTCTGGAATGTCGCAAGAAGAAATGCTTACCAGAATCGTAAGATACCCCCCCCCCCCTTCTCTCACCCACAGTCTCCTCCTTCCAGCTCAACCCACTGTTGATATTTCCAACCAACTTGAATTCTTACCCGTGAACAATCAAATCGCAATAGCAAACTCTTCACCCCACAGACCGCAAACGCTTTGGGAAGCTTCACTGCTGCGAGGGAGTTACACTTGTCGAATCCTTCTCAGTGCTTTTCGAGGCCGTTGGAAGTAAGAGAGTCCATTTGATTGGTCCCGCCAGGCTCCTGAGCACCAACTGATATTCTTTGGCACCCCTGACAACAACTTTTGAAGTCAAAAAGCTGCAAGTGTACCTTAAGAAGCTGGAAAATATTGTGGAACTGAAGCCGACTGACACAAAGCAAGAAGACGTCATATCACAATGGGCAAAATTCTTCCAAGGGTACAAAGGCTCATTTGCTAGGCTAAAGGAGATCCTCAAGCTCACCGATGCAGATCATGAGAATCAAATCAAGCAACTCGTCAAGCTTGCTCACTTTGTTCGATTCCCCATGGAGAAAGAACGCTCTGGAAGGTCACAAGAAGAGATGCTTACCAGAATTGTAAGTCCCCCCCTCCCTCCCTATATCTCTCATTCAAATGACACTTTTCCAGCTCCATCAACTAAATCCATACCCAGTAGCAGTCAGACAAAAAATCCCGAAAATCTCAACAGCAACGTACTGAATACAAGCGCTTTGAGAAGTTCCATGACTATGATGAAGATGAAATTGCTAGGAAATTCATAGCAATTGTGGAGGCTGCTGGAGGTAAGTGACTTGATTTGACTGATCAGAGGGCTCCTAATTAGCACCCACTGATGATCTTTGACACCCCTCAAAACTTGCAAAGTGGCAAGGCTACAACAGTACCATGAAGACCTGCAAACATTGATGCAGTCGTTCAAGATAGACCTATCTGTTTTCCGGTGCTACTGGGCAAGATTTTATCAGGGAGGAAGAGACTCCTTCCCCGAACTCAAGAAACGCCTCAAACTCACCTATCAAGACCATCAGCATATCAATATCATCAGGAAATTCTTCCAGCTCGCTTACTTCAATCGATTTCCCACCCAGCAAGACTCCTCTCGAATGTCAACAGACAAAATTCTCATTGCACTCAGACCTAAAAAATCTTCTCCCTAAACAACAATTGACACTGTGGAACAGCTTGTGTTGTGGTAATTGTTAGTCCTGTGCTGTTTCTATGCCAAAAATATATAGATTTATTATTATCTCTTTAAACATTCAGCATATGTTAGAAATAACATCAGAAATGGATTTCTCAGGTAAAATGACTCCAAGTTACTCACTACAACAACCCCCAAATCTCTACTAGTTCAGAAGTAACAACTAGTAGAGATATCACAGGAGCTTTTCCTTATTATTATTCTGACTATGTCTCATTTTGAATACTGGATTCATATTAGATATTGAATTCATTTGTTATTTCATATTTCATATTGAATTCCTTTGTAGGTGCACATGCATTGCTTTGTAGTAGGACTTTGTAGGCTATCCAAAATCCCTCAAAGCTGTGCTCCCACCAGCCAGATTCCCTCACCTACCAACCTCAGGAGAATTCTTCAGCATCTTCATCGATACAACTTTGCGCCTGTGGGAATAATGAGAAATCTGTTAGCTCGTGACATGTCACCTGTGACACCCGTTGTATTTCTGTTATCTCTATTCAACCGTTGTTCTCTCTTTTCTTTTCTTCTTCATCTTGTTTCTGCTCCTTTATCCCAGGTCTGCCCCTCCCTTGCCCCACCAAGCCCGAGCCTCCCTGACTGACAGTATCAATCTCGACTGTCACTTAAGGTCTTTATCTTCTCTTCTGTTTCTCTCATTATTCTTCTCCAATCTTTCTTCTTTCTCTCTTTGCTCATGAAATATCATCTTGTTTCTGCTCCTTTATCCCAGGTCTGCCCCTCCCTTGCCCCACCAAGCCCGAGCCTCCCTGACTGACAGTATCAATCTCGACTGTCACTTAAGGTCTGCCCCTCCCTTGCCCCACCAAGCCCGAGCCTCCCTGACTGACAGTATCAATCTTGACTGTCACTTAAGCTTATATTCCAATAGATTATGAGACCGGTGAACTCTCGTTATTTCGAAGTTTAACTCTAACCCTTCTCAAACCTTCCTCGCTTTAAAACTCAATCTCACAGCGTCCTTCATCATGGTCGAGTTCTCCGTCGATCTCGGAGAAAAGAACAAGCTGACCGGGGCCAACTATCTCGACTGGAAATCCAAGATCTCTTCCATCCTCCAACTCAAGCATCTTCTCCGACTTGTCCTCAAGAAGGAAACCTCCGAGGAAGCTGCTCTAGCCGATAAACTGGACAGTAACCGTTACGACGATGCCCTCGCCATCTTAAAAATCAACTGCGATACCAAGATCGCTGATCAATTTGATCTCGAAGCCGAAGGCAGCCCCTCGGAGTTCTGGAGGCTTCTCGAGGAACATTATCAACCCAAAACTATTCAAAACCAAGCGACCTACCTCAACCGCATATTCACCACTGTCCTCAACTCCAATAAGCTCGAAGAAACCTTGGCCAATCTATCCTATAACACTCGCCAACTTTGCGCTCTTATCGACGATGCCAAGACTAAACCTTCTGCTCTCCTCGACACCGTCATTGCCATGTGGTGTATAATCAATCTTCCAGCCGGATACAAAAACTCGGGGGAACTGCTGCTCAAGAAATGCCAAATCGAAAAGAAGTCTCCTACGATCAAAGAAGTCGTCGAGGAGATTCGTTCGTTCATGCAAAGAAACACCGAGGCTGCCGAAACCACCAAAGCCCTCGCAACTTCCCGAAAATCTCCCAATTCCGGATACGTCTACAACGGCCCGAAGTGCTCCCCTGGCTATCACAACCCCAAGACAGTCCACAAACCCGAGGACTGCTCTCAACTCAAACTCAAGCCTCCAAAAGAAGAAAAGCCTGTCAAAGCTCTCCATGTCACCCTTCACCAATCAAATTCCGCCCTCATTCTTGACTCCGGAGCAACCACTTCCATGTTCAACTCCGCATCGTTCTTCCCTTCCTATGATAACATCCACAACCATGTGTATTTAGCAAACGGCGATAAAGCTAAAGCCATCGGACAGGGAATCGCTTCGATCGAGTTACCACACGCCATACTTCAACTCAAAAACTCCCTTCTAGTCCCCTCTCTCACTTCCAACCTCATCAGTCTCAGTGCGTTCATCAGGAACAACTATACGCTCAAATCCGGAGGCGATGAGGAATTCATCTTAGCGGACGAAAATGGCGACCCCGTCCTTACTGGCTCTCTAGCCGATGGAAACTTTATTGTCAGTCAAGTCCTGCACTCAGCTCACAAGGTCGATATCAAATCTACTTCAACCTACGAAAAACACCAAGCAGCTGGCCACCCCTCGCCCGCGTACTTCTTCAAAATGTTCCCCAACATCCCAAAGGTCGATTTCACGTGTAACACTTGCGACATCTCCAAAGCCCACAAAGTGCCTTTCCTGGGTAACTTCCCCACCCCCACCCGTCCTCTTGAATACCTACACGTTGACCTATGTGGACCAATTTCAACCCCATCGGTTTCTGGACACCATTACTTTCTGAGGGCTGTCGATGGTTTCTCTCATTTTGTCTGGATCCGTTTCCTTACATTCAAAAGCGATGTAAACAAAACCCTCAGAGATCTCTTCCTTAAAATCGAGAACGAATCCGGATCCTCCATCGTCAATCTTGTCTCGGACAACGGGACCGAGTTCAAAAACAAGGACCTAACAGCTTTTTACTCCTCCAAGGGGATGAACCACCTCACAACGGCCCCCTACACTCCCGAGGAAAACCCTTTTGCCGAGCGAGGCAACCGCACAACCGTCGCCAAGCTCCGATGTCTCCTTAACGACTCCAACCTCCCGCTATGTTTTTGGGCCGAGGCTGCTCAAACCGCGGTCTATCTAGAGAACATCACTCCTTGTAAATCAATTGAATTCTCAACGCCTTTCTTCAAATGGTTTGGGAAAACCCCATCCGTTGCTCATCTCCATCCTTTTGGCTGTGAAGCAATTTATTTCCTTAACAGGTCAGAAGGGAAGCTGGGCAATCGTGGGGCACCGGGAATTTTTTTGGGCTACGGGGAGGGTCACAGGTCCTACAGGATACTGGATGCAGAGACAGGTAACGTAAAGATCACCCATCACGTTAAATTTAACAATCACGTCTTTCCATCCTATCCCTCAGATGAACCTGACCAGGACATTTCCACTCTCACTTTCCTATTTGATGATGAACCCCCCTTGTCCACTAATCCCACTCCGGAAACAGCCCTAAACCCTGGCGAACCCGGCCTGTCTGGAACCGAATCCTCAGATGACGACCAAACCTTCGAGGAACTTCTCACTGAGCCCAAATCACCCCAACTACCCCCAGATCAGTCCGTCACTCCTCCACCGCCACAAACCCCAACCGCGGGGGCACCAGCCCCATCTAAGACATACTCATGGGTTCCGGCAGATCAACCCGCTCCCAAAAACATTTCCAGTGACATTGATCCTTCTAACATTGTCAGTGGTTCTCGCCGCTCAGGCCACTCTGCCAACGCTGTCGGCTACATGAAGGAAGACCCTAGATCCTACGATGAAGCTATCGTCTTGATTCACAAAGAAGACTGGGTATTGGCCATCAAATCCGAACTCGGCAACATGGAACAACATCAAGTCTGGACGGTGGTAACTCAAACCAAGGACATGCACCCTCTGTCCACCACCTGGGTTTTCCGGAGGAAAACCGACCAGGACGGCAACCTCACCAAATTCAAAGCACGCCTCTGCGTCAGGGGATTCCTCCAAAAAGAAGGACGTGATTACTCCGACGTCTTTTCTCCTACCGGAAGACTCACTTCTCTTCGAATTCTACTGACTCTCTGTGCTCTAAACAACTTCGAGGTTCACCAGATGGACGTAAAATGCGCTTTTTTAAATGGCAAGCCGGACGAGGACCTTTACATCAAAATTCCACAGGGCCTCGATGGCGAACAAGGCACAGTCCTCAAGCTAAACAAGTCACTCTATGGCCTCAAGCAAAGCCCCCGGTGTTGGCACCACGCCCTCACCACAGCATTGAAAGAAATAGGACTCACTCCCAGTCACTCCGACCCATGCCTATACTTCTCTGCAGACAAATCAAAGCCGATGTTCCTGTACGCTCACGTTGACGATCTCATTTTTGGCGGAACGTTGTAGTATGCCAATTGTGTTTCAAGTATCAAATTGGATAAAGTCACAGTCCAATTTGTAGAAGGGCATATATTCTTAGGCGTATTATGGCATAATCACATTCTACGGGTCATTTAACCCATAGTCACTCACTGGAACCACTAGGCTAGCTCCACTCAGTCAAACGTTATTTGGGATTTAAATTTTATTTGCATAAAAAATGATTATTGCATAGTGTAACCACAAGTTGGCCACATTGTTTGTAGGTACACTGTGAATTTTGTATAGTAGCAAAACCACAATTTGGCCAGATGATTATATGCATATTCATTATAGGTTAGGGTTAGAACCACAAGTTGGCCATTTATAGATTATAGGTTAGGGCTAGAACCACAAGTCAGCCGGGTTGTAAAATAGACTATTTAAGGAGGGGCTTTCCCCCCTCATTCCAATCATCTCATCATCTCATCTCATCAGATCATCTCATCACAACAGATCATCTCATCTGATCATCAACCAGACAGAACAGAGCAATCAATCCATACATTAACCAGTGTGATCTTAATCAAGTGCCCCATTGAGATCATTCAGCCATTGAGAAGCATAGGGAAAAGAAAGTAGCAACCAGTACAACTTGTGATCTTAAACAAGAGACAGTGATCTTAAACCATTGTGCTCTTGACTAAGATTCAAGGAGGAAGGGAAAGACACTTTCAATAGTCACATTTTTTTCCACAATATCATCTCATAAATTCACATTCATCATCAGTACATACGTCAATCATTTCTCAAAATACATAAACATATAAACAGAAAAACACCTCTTACTCAAACATTTCCACTCAAATAGTCTGCTGAATCCACGTTGATCTAGGTTTGATAAGAGACTGCTACACATAGTTTTCTCTATCATCAGTTTTTTCCACAACAATAAATAAATTGTTGTGTTAACTCTTGTGTAGTA